ATTCTTGTATTGCCCACCTGCAGCTGTCAACCTTTACAATCCCCTGCCCGTTGGTGTTCGATCCAACAACGGAATTGCTTAAAACAATTGCGTATACGACGCGTGGCCTGCGTGAAAATTGCAACATTACAACGTGTAGGTTTGGAAAACATTTGCCGAAAGTAGAGTGGGAAGGATGTCCGTTCGGTGGACGTTCCTGCCAGTTACCTTTTTGACATTTGATTGAGATTTGTTATCGGCGAATTCATCAATGATATATACAATAAAAATACACACAACGCACTGCTGCCGGGATGGAAATAGAGGTTGGGCGGGCTATTCTCCGCCCCAGACACTGAGACGCACTGGAAAATGGGGGAAAAAATACACAGTCCTGGGGGAAAAGGCAGCTACCCAGTGACCATTCATCCTGTGGGTCCGGGGCTTCGTGTCTGGTTTGGTTTTTGGGAGGATGGATGGGCGGTGTTGTTCCACACCCACCTGGCAATAGTTATCGGCCAGGACCAGTGACATTTCTCGGCAGGACACCCTCTGCCTAACTGCTGTGTTACTTCTATTAGATTTTCCCTTCTCATAAAGAAAAAAAAAACCTGGCCAGCTACCCAAGCAGCTGTTGTTTGGTCCATGCAGCCCCCACTCCCTCCCACTTTTCGTACTTGTTGTGTATTTTTGCAATAAAGCAACGCACCGAGAGGGGGGCGGGAGGAGGGTGGAGTGACAGAGCTGGCCATGCGTACCTTTCGATCCTTGTGTGACATTTGAATTCGGCAAACGAGACACGAGTGGGGAATGTGTGGCAGTGGCAAGAGTGGCAGCCAACATTTTCTTTTATACAACTTTGGCAGTTAGCCCTGGTTCCCCGTTACTCCTCGCCCCTTCCCCCTCTTACCAAAAACGAAAGGCCAACGTTTGCGTATCTATTTTTTAATTTTGCTGACGAGGCACGAAAACATACAGAACGCAATTGTTCCAACGTCCACAATGCATTCCAGTTACTCTGCTCTTCTGTGTATCCTGGCTCCTGTTTTGTGTCCTGACATGTGTGCGTCTCATGCTGATAAGCAGTAGCCGTACCCCACCAGGATGCTGGGAGAAGGATAAACCACCCACAGAAAAGCAACACAACACAAAAAAAATATTAAAACCTAGAAGAGCAGCCAAGTTCCGCGCCAAATGAAAAGTTAAACTGTGTGACGCGCTTTTGAAAAACTGGTGAGGGATTTCAGGCCCCCCATCCAAAAGCCCCGCTTTTTTCGGAAACCCCGCCAGGATGTTTGATTCGATACCTCCGTTGGCCCGCTCCTTAAACCCCATACCCCCCATGGAGCCAACATTTTGCTGGCTTGGCGTGATGAATATTTACTGCGTGCGCTAACTGCTAACTACCTACAGGTATTCCCCATTTTTTGACATTTTTAATTGGGTTTGAGCGCAGCCCCGCCGCCATCGCCAACGCAGGGGGGCCGAGGATGGGCTCTCAGGGCAGTGGGGTCGACAGTTTTTGCCACTTTACGCCTGTCTGTCGAGCCTTGTTTCTCGTGATTGAATGCCCGCCAGAGCTGAGGGTTCGATTTCAAGCGAAACTTAACCATCTATTATGGGTATTTAAAAGGCAAAGATCCAGAGACTCTTATACTATAAATACTATTTATTCTTTTGACTCTTTTACTAATTTTTATTATTATTTTTTCTACTTGCAGGTAACTATGTGGGTTCTGGCTTTGTGGAAGACTTCCATCTCCCTTCCATGTTATAATGACGTTGTAAGTCCCCGTCTAATTATGTTTCTAAAAACAATTAATTTGGGAACCTATCAAGTTTCTTTCTATAGGGGAGAAGCAACAATAAAAACAAAATAAAGAAAATCAAATGTAATTGCGACAAGGGAAGCGTATCTTGAAGATACAAATACTAGACTGCTTAACACAATTCTGTATTTTTGTTTTGGTTGTTCAGCGAAGCGTATTAACCGAAACTGTCAACCGTACATTTGTGTTAACTGTTTTTTATTTTTCAACCTAATGGTAACTCATTTGTAAGCCATGGACTTGCATTTCAAGTTGGTTGCAGTTGCGTGCATGGCTAATTACCAGACCGGCACTTGATGGGGGAAAGCTCTATAAAGTAGGGTACATTTTTCGGTGAAAATTATTAGAGCTAATCTGCTTGCCACACCACAGATTTATGCAATATGACATCACAATGCCTGTAATAGCCAAAAGTTACTCAATTCCCCAGCTGTTTATCAAATGCACCTGATTCTGGGCATCCAGCTGCGTTTCCAGCCATGTGTGTGCTGTAACTCTGAAGCAACTCGTATTACAGAATTTTATGCAACAGCTTTGATGTGGAATGCCACCCGTGGCGAGTTTACTTCACTGGCAATGCTGGGTAATATGACATTTATTCAGAGATCTTCTGGGCTGCACATCTGTTGGGGTTCTAGGCTATTATGCCAACAGGTCTATTAAGGTTTACCAACATTTGACAAGAGCTGTCTTTGTCAGGAATTCTTTAAGAAAAAAAAGGGATTGTGTTTTCAAAGAAATCAAGATTAAATCAAGTAAGTCTTGGTTTCAGTCTCAAATATCTTTTGGCTGTGTTATAAGTGCGTATCTGTATCTAATAAAAATAAAAATATCTGAGAAATGCAGCCCAAGAGATTTTTAACAGATTTTTCGGCTCGTCGCCGCAACTTCTTGAAAATCTTTGTCCAAATAATGTTTCTATTATTTATAATTTTTATGCTGACGCGTACGTTCGGGCCTATCAAGGTTTGCCAAAAGAGGAAGGATTCACTTTATAAACTATAGTCTCTTTGTGAGTATGAAATAAACTCAAAGTGATTGCACAACCCTTAATCAAATGCGTTTTGTGACAGACATCCGAAATGTTTTCATAATAAAATGCGTCATATCCCAAAGCTAATTGCCATTGAGACGAAACCAGAACAACGAAAATGTATCCATGAAATACTCAAGATATGCTGCCTGCCTCCAATGCACTTCAAAACAAATAATCAAAAAAAACGACAGAAATGTGAATCACGGAATTGAATTGACGTTTTTGTCTAAATAGCGCGCAAGGTCAATTAGATGAAAGAAAATATAACAATTAAATATTCAAGTTTTTATGGCATTTCAATGTTGTTTTTGAGAATTCAGTAAACAAGTCATTGAATGGGTTTTTAAGTTTAAAATAAATGTTACTTTTAGGCTAGTTATAGATACTATTTCAAATCGTTTTTGGTTTATTTTAAATAAATTGCGTAATTTCGTATTTTTTTTTGTGATGACCTGAAGAAGCAAAACAGGATCAACCCCTTAACCTCCCCTGAAGCTACAAGTTCTTGATCCAAAAACCCAAGAAGAAAAACAACTTTTATTTCATTGTGTGTGTGATGTGTTGTGTTCCTGGAACGCATATCCTATATCTGAGTTTGTGTTTGTGAAAAGGATTTACGCGTTTTTTTTTCTTTTTCTTCCTTATTGTTTACTTGTGTATTTCGCACATTTATTGCCGCCTGTGTGGATGGTTGTTTGTTTTGGAAGGCAGATAGGTTACCAGATACCTGAGCTATGATTTCGCCTTGAGAATTCAACCATTCAGGTGTGTGTGTACTGGAATTGTGATCTATTTTTCGGCTTTGGCTTTGGCTTTTTCTTTTATTCTTCTTAGGCATTTTGTGTAATTGAAAAAGCATTTCAAATGCAGCTGCGTAAATTTCGCTGCGTATTCCCTTCTGACAGCAACAATAGGACTCTGTAGTCCTTGTAGAGCCAAAGCTGGGCAAGTACAGTTGAGCTCACAAAGCTCTGGAACGCAAAACAGAGGAGGAAGCCAGCGAAGTGCAAAAATAAAGGAAATGCCTCTAAGGATTTGTAAAAGGCATATCCTTCTATGGGGTTGTCCTTATAGAGGGGGATGATAGTTACGCAACTAGAGATTTATTTGGGTTACAAATAGATAATTACAAAGAACTACAAATTACTGTATAAAAATTTATTTAAAAAAAAAAGTATTTTTTTGTGGTAGTAGCATCGATTTCTTTGTTGGCCCTCAAGGGCAGCTTCTAACCACACCTCCTCGCTGAAGTGAATTCCTGTTGTCGGACTCCAAAAACTGCAAACTTCCCAGGAATTTCTTAATAGCTTTTTACCGATATCTTTCCTTTTTTTGTGTTAACCCCTCGTCATTGAAACGAAACCGTTGATTTTGATGGCCAACAACAGAAAAAAAACGGCAGAGAAAGAAAAAAAATAAAGAACACTGAAGCTATGGAGAAGCTTCCATAAAAGTTGCGAGTCCACATTTTTCTAACGATTAAACAAATTCGAAGAAAACAAACGCATCCCATGCAACGATGACAGCAGCCTCACCTGCAGTTTCCAGGAATCGAAATCCGAAAACAGGATAATGGGGCAAGGGGTAGTACGATGGAGGACAGAGGAGGATGGATTCTTTTTATTTTTTTAGAAACCGTAGACGAAACAAAGTCAACGGAGTCAGAAATCAGAAAGTTTCTCGCTCGCGTTGCATCAAAGCCTTTGGACGGCGGCATTTTTGAGAGTTCCTGGGCCAGTCCAGAATTCCCAGAATTGAATCGTATATCTTTAACTTTTTTTTCCTTGGCTTTGGAGTGGTGGTTGGGTTCTTTCTAAATGCTCGATTAATTTCTAATAAATTGGTCGGAAATGCTGCAGGCCAACGATATATAGGGTTACCAACACAAATGTGATGCAGTTTCTATATCGCAGCCGCAGCCTGGCTTTTGAAATTTGAGTTTTGGGGAAACGTATTTCTCGGAACTACTTCGATTGGGCGCTGAAATTGTTTTCCGATAGCCCTTTTGCAACTTGCAACGTATTTTTTTTTTTTTGTATTTTAATTATTAAAAGGAGATTGAGAAAGCAGGCATTGGGTTTGCCATCTAGTTCAATGTCAAACGCATCGATACTGAAACTAATCGCACAATATAATTTTCGTCATTCTCGTTGCAGCATTTGTCGTGTTCGGATTCGGATTCGTCGTTGTAGTGTGTCGTTGTTCGTAATTTAAATAAACCATAATTCGGTATATTTCTTATGCCAACGCCACCATCATCACCAAATCTATTATCAGCAACAGCAGCGGAAGTACTCCGTAAACCGGAATTAAACGCCAAAAAAACGAGAGCAAGAACGCGAACGAGAAGAACGACAAACAAGAAATTATATAATCAATTGCAAAATTCCCTTTGGCTAAGGAATTGCAGCGGCCGAATTGCTTTTATGCTCTACTGCCAGCTACAAAATTCCACGAAATTCCATTTTGGCAACACGATAACAAACAAACAAATTCGTATCACTAACCAAGAACTTCAAAAACAAAATCTTAAATTGAAAAATCAACTAAAACATCAAATCATTTGCAAGAAACATCGTTGCATTGGCGTCTGCATCCTGCAAGTAAATAATATCAGCAAGGATACTAAGGATAACGGTACAGATATAGGCGGTGCAACGGAGACACAAGCACAACTGCTGGCAAAATGGATCCACAGCAGCAGTTCTGCCTCAAGTGGAACAGTTATTCCTCCAACTTGGCAATAACATTCTCCAATCTGTTCAAATCGGATCTACTGGCCGATGTCATATTATCCTGCGATGGTAAGTTTGAAAAAATATTATAAATATTATAGCATGTATTTTTTATGAAATATTATCAAAGCTGGCCTTGACTTTGTTAGCATATATATTTTTGTATTCTTATCAAGCTTTTACTTCCGCGTTAAAAAAGGACTTTCCCCATCAGAGCCTCCTCCAATTGAGTTATTCTTATTTACCTACGAGACTCCTGCCTTTTATTTTCTTTCCACTTGTGTTTATTTTCCTTTTATTTATTTTTTTTTTTGTTAATAAGCCTGGCTGACGAGCCACCAGACATTGATTTCTTTTCGGCCCTTTTGCCGCTGGCTGGCTTGATGGAGACGCGAAGTTGCTTTTATGGCTTGTCTCGTCCTTGTCTGTCAGTCGGGCTCAGCCATTTTCCTTTTGGCCCGTCTGTCTACTAGTTCATTTACGGCCCTATACTACAGTTTTTATGCTGGCTTATTAAATGCCGAATAAATGCGGGCAAACCTATATAGCGACTGTTATCCGAGAGTGTGTGTGTGTGAGCCACAAACAATATATATACATATACATATATTTATTCAGGCTTTGGCTAAGGTCAGTTATTTGGGAGCTTCATTATGTGTTTGTGTTGTGTTGTGGGACCCTTGTTAACCTTCTTTTCTTTTGCTCTTGATTTGGGTTTAAATATTTTCCCTTGCCGGTCGTTGGGTGTTTCAAGCATCTTGGCTTATTTTTATGATTATTATGTAGAGTATGTTTGCCATTTCATGTCCTAACCTTGAAAATATTTAAATTCTTTAAACAGGATCCTTAAAGTAAAAGCCCTCTTACCCACAAAACATTACTCATACGCCATGTGTGCGTAAGTATGGATTTTTTGCATTGATTGAATGTTGAGTGGGTAAAAAAAAACCGCGTTCTAGGATTATTGGTTGGGTTGTTTTGGCTAAGAGTGGGTGGGACATACGCAGACATCCACAAACACCAAAAAAAAAAAAGAAATCGCGAAAGCCTAGACAAATCCTGGAACCCTTTTCCGTGCTTCCTGTTCCATGCCGCGTTGTCATTCATATCAATCGAAGTGGTACTACTTTTGATTAAAATTTCCAGCGTTATCCTCCCGGCTGGCCACCTCCCACCCTGGTTCTAACCCCTTTTTGCGTTGGCTGCTTTTAATTGTGGTTTTTAATATTTTCCCGAGGTCTGCTTGTTGGATATGGGAGTCCATCCGAAATTCTGCATTTGTTATGTTTGATTTAGCCCCCCACCACTCTTGTCTTTTGTCCATTTGGAAATGAAGCATTAAATATTTGGCCGTCTGCGAGAACAAAAGCAAATAACGTATGTTTTTTATTGTTTTTAATATTCATGTGGATATTTTTGGAATTTTTTGTTTGCAAGGATAATAAGTGCAAGGCTTTGAAGTAGAGGAGTTCTGGGGGCAGGCTTAGCACTTGAGAAATGAACATTTTTACCCAAATGAACATTTACTTAGCCTGGGGCTATGTTTTTGGTTTACTTGGGGGATGATTCACTTTTTAAGGGTGACTCTGGTCCTTAAGAAGGATGCATTTTTGTAGCCATGCCTTCTCCTAATCATGACTCATTAGATACGATTAGATTATCCCAAGTACAAGTACTTGTTATTGCCATACTGTGCATATTGGCAATAGTGGAAAAATAGCCGAAATCAAAACAAATTGTCGAGTAAACGAAAAAACGAACACGAGCCAACGCAGAACGTAAACAAGCGCACGCCAGCTGAAAAAAAAAATATATGTATACATATATATTATATATTATATGACATTTCTTTATCAAGGCCAGGCCATACAGACATATCGGAGTATGAATTTGTATCAGTATCGTTTCGAGTGTATGTATATGTGCGTTTTTTTTGCGTTTCTTTTGTGGTGATTGTGACCCAATTTCTGTTGTATCAAGTGTTAGAAAATCAACCAACGAAATAAAACACAAAAACTCTCGTCTGATACACAGAAGCATAATCACGAGAACGAAAAAGAATCGAAAGTGTAAACAAGTGTGTACCGCCGAATGTGCAATATGCGTAGTCCGTTAAAGTCTGGGTATATTAATCAGCACAAATCAGCAAAAGATTATATAATTCGAAACGAAAAACGAAATAAAATTCCATTCGCAAGCTAATGAGTGACGCCGTAAATCGCGCATACGCAGCGTTGCCTGAATCACTTCCGAGTGCTTTGCAATGCGTTTGATTTTGACCTTGATGTCATTTTGTTTTGCCTCCCAAATGTATTTGTTATCAGGCCTTATCAGGGGAGAACCCAAAGGCGAGAATTGACACAATTCTGCCGAAATTCACGCATAGCGATAACCCCCACAAACAAAAAAAAGAGGAATATTTTTAATGCATTTTTTCGCTTCAGCTGCTACGAAAATTTCACAAAGTGCCTTCGAAAGAAAAAAGTGTCAAACTTGAGATATATTTATGAACAGTGTCGGCGGTAAATAAAAATTCTAGTTCCTTCCCTGTTGCACCCGGTGGCAGAGTAGCAGCTGTCCATCTCTGTCACAGCCACTGCTGGGCGATGTTGCTCTAATTTGGCTTAAGTAATGCTCGCTGCCAGCACAACAAGTGCCCCATAAAGAAAAAGACATAACTTTCAACCTCCAAACCACCCTCCACCTCCACCAGGGAGATACAAAAAAAAAGGAGACGAAAATCTGGAAAAAGAAACAAGAGAAAGTCGAAAAGAAAAGCGTGAAAAATTGTAGTAGCGCGCCATCACCACCCACTCAGACCTAGAGAAGAAAATATACTTAGCTTACATTGCGTATACGCCGCGTTGGTTTTTGTGTGTCAGGTATAGGTAGCAGGACCTACACAAAAGACTCCCAGGACCAAGACGACATTGATGTTGAATAATAACTCAGACAGACTCACCCACCCAAGCACCCAAAACACAAACACATACACACCCATACCCACACCCACCAAAGCCCCATAAAGACACTCATGTACAAATATCAAAAGGAAAAGCAGCCACTTGGTTGGGTGGGTGTGTGTGTGAGAAAATCATTTCCTTGCTGCGGCTTTTATTGTCCTTCTTGTACGTGTTTATGTATGTATTCGAGGGTATGCTATGAGTATGGTGTGAGTGCGAATACGAGTATATATTTGACATGATTTTTTATAAGTTCAAGGTCTCGGTTTGGCGTTTTTGGCGCAACCTGTTGGCATCGTTTTATGGGCCAAGCTTTAAAAGGAAAATTAGGCAAATCTTAAGGCATGCCTTAGATACTTTTAAACTTCAATAATATTATAACTTATTCTAATAAACTTATATTCTTCATTTTAGGCGCAGTTTTCAAAGCACACAAACTTATCTTGGCGGCCTGCTCGAAAAAGTTCGCCGATCTGTTCGAGAACACGCCCACAAATGGCCAGTGCGTCATTATCCTGGAGGCTACAACGCCGGACAACATGGCCGCTCTGCTCGAGTTCATGTACAAGGGCGAGGTCCATGTCTCCCAGGAGGCACTCAACAGTTTCCTCAAGTCTGCTGAGAGTTTGCAGGTAAGATTGCCTTTTAAACCAAAAGATCATGGAAAGTGGATCTCAAATGTCCACTCCTTTCAGGTCAAAGGCCTCTCCACTGAGACGGGACGCCTGGCGGCCCAACAGGCCCAACAACAACACATGGGTGACTCCTCGCCCCTGGACTCGCCGACGGGCAGGCGCAGCATTCGCAACAGCTTGAGCGGCGGCGGAAACATCGTCCACGGCGGTGTGGGCGCAGGAGGCGTGGGAATGGGTGGCGGCGGAGCCGGAGCCAACTCGATACCCGGCGGTCTGGGCAACGGTAATGGACTGAGCCTGGCCGGAGCCCTGAGCGCTGCCGGGGGTATGGCAGCAGCGGCCAGTGTGGCTGCCAGCGGACTGAGCGCCTTGGCGGCCAGTGCCAATGCTTTGGACAGATGCACCAGTGCCGGTGGCAACATCATCGGTGGCACAGCGGCTGGTATTGGACCGCTGAGCGGAGGATCGGGAACCGGAGCCGGATCGGGAATCGGCGGAGTGGGAGGCAATGGCGTGGGCGGAGGTAACAACGGACCGATTAGCCTGGGCAGCGGTGCTGGCGCCGCTCTCCACCTGGGCGGATCTACCGGCAGCCTGAAGCAGGAGTGCGACTCCCTTATGCATCCTAGCAGCAGCAGCAGCTCCTCCGGAATGGGCTACACCCATGTTCCTCCGATCTACCGACCCATCTCGTATGAACCTCTGCGGAAGCGCGCCCTGCGCAGCCCGTATGCCGAGCAGGAGCAACGCGGCTCTGTCCTTCGTGACGGATCCAAGAACTCTCTGTCTGAGTGCCCGAGTCCCATCAACAAGCCACCGTACCACCGTCCCTCGTCCAGCGCCTCCTCCACCGCGCCCACCGAGGCAGATACCATGCACTCGGAACGAGCTTCTCCGCAGTCCAGGTGAGTTCGCTTGAGACTCCATACCATTCTTTATTTATAAACTAATCCCATCCTGTAGTCGATATGAAAACCACAGTCCCAGCACCACAGCCGGCAATGGAAACGCCACCAGTGGCTTGGATCGCATTGTGAAGTCGGAGCGCAACAACGGCAGTGCCAACGAGGCCAACGATGACGATCGCGAACTGATGGATGAATCAACTGATGTGAGTTTTTAAAGAATAAATAATAAACTAATGATTTTAATATGAAATTTGAACCGAAAACCAAACAGAACGGAGCCGAGGACCTGCGCGTTAAGCTGGAGAACTCGAACTACTCACCGCCACCGCCGCCGAACTCAAACACCTCGTCGACCACACCGAACGCTCTGCTGGAGAACCTGAAGAACGCCGACGGATCACTGTCTGGCAACCTGGCGGCTTCGATAGCTCCGGCGGACATGCTGAACGTGTGGAATGCGACCAAGATGAACAACAAGAACAGTGTGAACACGGCCGATGGCAAGAAGCTGAAGTGCTTGTACTGCGACCGCCTGTACGGCTACGAGACGAACCTGCGGGCGCACATCCGGCAGCGTCATCAGGGCATCCGGGTGCCGTGCCCCTTCTGCGAGCGCACCTTCACCAGGAACAACACGGTGCGGCGGCACATTGCGCGTGAGCACAAGCAGGAGATCGGACTGGCGGCGGGGGCCACCATCGCGCCCGCCCATGTGGCCGCAGCTGCGGCGGCGGCGGCGGCCGCCAATCACTCGCCATAGGAAGCAGCCGCAACAGCAGCGGCAGCAGTAGTCATGACCGCCCACAAGGAGGCGGCGAAGCAGCGCAAACGTAAATCACTCAAGATGGCATTGGAGAAGTGCATGCAGCGACGGGATGCACTGGTGGCAGAGGCCACGATCACCACACCAAGCAGCACAACGGGGGCAGGAGAGGAGGAGGGGGCGACCGGATCCGACGAGGGCAAGGACGGATCTGGCGCCGGGGCAGGAGTAGCTGGTTCAGCGGGCACTGAGCCACCACTCACCTACGAACAACAACAACAGCGGATGCACCAGGAGCTGGCGCATCAAATCAAGGCGGCCATGGCCGCCGAGCGGGCTCAGGAGGCAATGGATGCTACAGTAAACACCACTGCCAACACTACCACCACCACCACAACTACCAACACGACGGGCACCACCAGCGACGGCAGCAGCGATGCCGAGGCCAGCGATGGCAGCGAACGGCCCATGGAGGTGGACGAGCAGCCGCCAGAGCCACAGCCAGGATCGGAGCTCCTAGTAGTGGAGCCGAAGATCGAGGTTCTGTCGGAGTCGGAGGAGGCAGAGGAGGAGGAAGAGGAGGACCACCACCACCGACTCCACCTGCACATGTCCGAAGAGCCCGAGATCCAGGCCGAAGCTGTCTACGATCGTATGCCCACCACGCCCACCAGCCCACAACAACACATTATACCGCCCAACGAGACGCCCACTTTGACCTCCACGCCCAAGGTCAATGTGGAGCAGTAGGAGCCACTGAAGAGTGCCCCCCTAACAATGCCCCCAAAGAAGCTGCTAAAATTTAGGATAAGTATACACGACGACGATGAGAAGAATTGATGAGAAGACCATATAGAGAAGATGAGTGATTTACAAAGAAGAACATGAGAAGATTTACGCGCGAAGAAAAATGACTACTGTTGCAACTGCTGTTGCCCTCGGAGACCAACACCACTACCACCAACTACTAGCACCACCAAGCTAAAGACCCAGAATCTGGGCAGATAATTAAACTAACAAAGAATTACTAATAATGATAAGATATACGATACAAGAAACAGAGAAATACGTACACATGCAGGCAGAGAAGGCAGACAGACGCACACACGAACAGAAGGCAGTATTTGATGTCCAACTTTTTGCAGAACATTTTTATTACAAATTTGTGTTGAAGCCACCAACCATTTTCGCATAGAAACAAGAAACAAAACAAACACAAGTCCCCTAGATTCACAATTCAACAAATATTTGTAACAATTTTCACCAAAAGAAAAGCCAGTAAAAAGAAGGAAACCACCAGCAAAATACACACAGTAACAGAAACAGTAACAAAAAAAATAATAGTACAATTGCAATCCGGCTGAAAAATTGTTTTCAGGGTGCTACAATCAATGCAACAAACCAGGGCACTTGCAACAACCAGTGCCACACAAAACGAATAACAAATTAAAACTAAAACTATGAAATAGTAAAAAATGCAAAAAGTTTGAACGTTTTTGATTGGTACAGCCTAGTATGAGAAATCGGTAGGGAAGAACTAAGTGTAACAAGTGTATAACGAATTTGTTTAGTCGTGTGTGTAAAGGATAATTTACATTATCGCATATATATTTTTGATTTCCTATAGTAACAACATTACAAACTGCATTACAAGTTGCCTCAAATCAAACGAAACGATAATGCTAAAAAAAAAAAAACAAAAAACAACAGAACTTAAGTAAATTGAATTAAACTAAAGAAACAATTAAAGAATACTGTAAACAAATAGCTGCAACAGACAAACTACAAAGCAACAATAGCAACAACAAAACCGCAACCACAAGTACCTGCAATAATTAAATAGTATAAAAAAAAATAACAAAAGAAACAAAATACAAATAGCAATGAAAAACGCTAGAAGGGAGCCGGCCCAGGACTCCTTGGGGGTGTCAGGTGATCGTCCGAAGTCCCCGCCTCCGACTGCCCGTTTGTCCGGTTTTTTGTAAATAATTTTATTAAATTTATCATACGAAAAGGCAAACCAGGGACATCAGTAGTGTGGGGTCAAGTGATAGGGTCGCCCTCCAGGGAGCACACCTCCCACGGCCAGTGCTCCACAACATAAACAATATTTTTTGCTTTAACGAAACATACAATTTTTTGGTTTGCTCATTTTTTGCATTATTTTATGATTAATTTTTTTATAATCGTGTTTAGGCCTCAAAATTTCAAACAGAACTGCTTTTCGGCTACCAAAAAAATAATTCAATATCAAATTCAATTCCGAATTCAAAAGTTTCTAATGAAGTAACATAAAAACAATTGGTAAATTGGGTGCCTATAAGAAATATATAATTAAATGACTACTAGTGAAATTTTATAAACAAAGGAAGAATATATTTAACGATTAAACGATGGAGGAGAAATGGAAATAGTAAGGAAATCGTAAAGTAAATGTAATTATTTTTTAATTGAATAATTCTAGCAAACATTAATAATTCAATGTTGATTGAAAAGCAAGCAAAGCGAAGCAAAACATATGATTGAAAAAATAATGATATAATAGCAGAAACCACTCAAAAACGTTCTCAAAAACTTGACGGCAAACAACAGCAACAAGCAAACAACAAAAACAGCAATAATTACAGCAAACAAAATTCGAAATCAAAACAACTTTTGGCACACCTTTGGAAAACATTTTTCGTACAAAAGAAATTTCACCAAAAAGAAAAAAATCCAAACCAACAAAAATTCAAAATTCATTTTTTCGGCTCTTATAATTTCGAAGGCTACATCAAAGGAAGAAATTCCTCAAATAAAAAAATATCCACAAAATAAGCTGTAAAATACTAAAAATTAAAAGTAATTGTTGTAAGCGAACGAGTAAAAAAATCTAAAGAAACTGCAATTGAAAATATTGAGAAAAAAAAGAAAATAATAATCTGCCAGCATGAAAATGGGCGGAAACTTGTAAATACATTTATTAGAAATGCATATATATCATTAGAGATTATATATGCATGACCTCAGTTGTATAATGATAAAGCCTAGATCTAAATATTAATATATGTACGTGTATGTATACATAATGTACTAAGCGCATATGTAGGAACACTTAGGCTCGCCAACACTGAGAGAAGAAAGGAAGTAAGGAAGGGTTTTATTTTAGATCTTAGAAGCTAAACTAAACTGAATTTCAATTGTGAAAACTGTTTTAATTTGTACGTTTTCCGTTAGCAGGTTATCCAGCAGAATGAGGTTATCCAATGATAGCAGCAGGGTGATAATTGCACACAAACTCCGAGCAGAATCCATAGCCAAAATGTTAAATATTTAAACTACTTTTAATAACTGTTGACCACCACATCACAACACACACCAAACACCACACACACAAAACAATTTCAAACTATTTTTTAAACCCAGTTTTTTCTGTGATATCGTTTTGAAGTTGCAAGAAAGTTTAGTTCTTTTCGTTTTCAGAAATCATTCAAACTCGAATTTTATTTTGGCATTCGTGTTGGGCAGAATAGAAGGAAAAGTGCAACAGAGCAATAGCAATATTTTAAAATTACAATTAAAGTCTGGCAATATTTTTAAAAACCAAAACTACCTCTTCACCACACCCCTCCTCACGCCCATGAGCAGATTTCTTTCAAGTCCTGTGGCCAGTTTTCAGTCTTTGTATCCTTGCCAGCGTTCTCTGGAGTCTGAATTACATTTTATTTTTAAGTACGTTGGCGAGGTGCAATCGCTCCAGCTGGCACACAGGACCAAGCCATCAATCAGTCAAGCAATCCGTCATTCAGTTAATCAATCAAACAATATATATATCTGCTAATCAGGGGTTAGAAAGATTAAACGTAATATTAATATTAATTTTACGTACTTTTAGGTTTTATGTTAATTTAGTTTTTAAGTTCAGTCTTCGTTTTTCGTTTTACGTTTTACGTTTAGAGTCTAATCAAACTCAGGAACTCATATACCTCAGGAAAGAACCTACCTCTTTGTGTTTAGTCTTGTTTTAAATATTTTTATTTTTTTATCCATATAACGAGTATAGTTTTTGTATGGGACAAAAAAATAAAACCTGGAATGAGGAGAAACACAAGAATACGTTGTTGTAATCGAAGATGCTATCAAGGAAAGCTTTAGATTTAGTTCGATTATTGGTTAGTTTTAGTGAGGATTAATTTTAAAACTTAAATGCAAAAGACACAATCACATAAACACACGCCCAAAACACACAATAGCAATAATGGGAAACCAAAATACCAGATCGAACTGCAATAGTAAACTGAACTACCTCAATTAGCCATAGACTGTGCAGTAACGAAATGAGCATGATATAAATGTAATTTTATACACTTCTTGATCTTAATTTCCCGATTTATTTTATTCTTTTTGTAAAATGGTGACACACGAACATACAGACAGACACAGTCCAATACCTTTGGCATTTGACAAGAAACTGTTTTAGTTGAAAAATCTTTTGGTTTTCATGTAAATATGCGCTAAAAAAGGAAGGTCACATTAACGTTAACCTACAACAAATATATGCTTTTGGCTAAATTCTAATTATAAAATAAAAAATATCCTCATGTTTTACTATCTATGTGTAGAGAGCAGACGTAGGCGATATATGACCAGGATTAAGATCATTTGTATACATCAATTTCGGCAAAGCAACTAAATGAGGCAAACCAAACGAAGCACGCGTTCGAGTAGCGTGACTCAGTATAATCTAACTATAAAACAAAAATACAAAGAAATTATTTAAGGCTACAAAATTAATCCAAAAAGGAAGAGAAAATCCACAGAAACACTAACGTGACAACGGATCCCAGTGAATGGTATACTTTTGCTTGAGCCAAGTCCAAATGGCCAAATACGACAAAATTTTGAGCAAAGAAAAAAATCTACATTTAACTAAATTCAAAGCAAACCCCACATGGTTATAAAAAAATATATAAAATTTAAAGGTAAACATTTTGCTAAACAAAAAATAAAATTTTCTAAAAGAAACTTGCATAATACACACAAAAAAAAACATTTTAGGCTTAAACTTTTGGCTAAAGAAAACAAAATTTAAATATTAAAATTATTAGGCACACGCAAAAACAAATATGTATATGCATAAAATATTATACATTAATATTTATTTAAAAAAGGTAAAAAAAAAGCGGAAAAGAAAAAGCAAAAATACTTTATCTGTAATCAGATTTTAGGCCCAACTTTTCGACAAGCGGCGTAAAATAATTTCTTTGTAAAATATGTTTGCAAACAAAAAAAAATCGAAAGAAAAAACCCAGAAAGCGTAATTAACTTAATCTAAAAATAAAATTAAAAAAACACAAATGTCGCCATTTTGCATTTAGAGCGTACAGTAAAGCACACAAAACGTCGACGACAAAAATGCGTCACGAAAACCAACAATTATTGTACATAAAACATATGAAAACAAAAACTATAAAAAATGTGTATTGTATATTCGTAATTTTTGAATCATTTTTAGTTACCAGTTTCCTTTACCCTTGCGTTGTATAAATTAACTTTTAAGCAAAACCCCATAAAATAAAAAAACGAAACTGTAACAAGAACGCAAATATAATAAGGGGAATAATAATAATATATAGTGTGTGCACAGGTACAAACAAAATTTAAGTTCAATTAAAAGTGAAAAATTAGTGCACCGAACACATTTGATAAGAACTCGATGTAATTTTTGTTATATATTTTTGTTAGTAATTGTTTTTCTATTAATATATTTAGTGCGAAATGTCAAAACAAACAAAATAACACGAAATCCCCCCCTTCAACAAGCCAATTGTACTTACGATTTTGTTTACGTTCTTATATATATATTATTTTTGTGACACTTTCCGTTGACAGTACAGTGAGGCATCCAGCTGGAGCCTCCTAGTCACAAATTGCAATAGAACCGCGCTATCCCCTCTCCTGGAATTACCATTATGTTTACCTTACCTAAGTTATTCCAAATAACTATAAAATAATAAAAGGAGAAAAGCGAAAAACTGCTTGCACTAAAAACACACACAATTTAAGTTTAAGAAGCAAGAAGAATGTAATATATATTTTGTATATTTTGTAACAATTTTCGTCTGGTTCTGTTCGATCGCAACAAATTGGCTTGTTTACACATCTTTTCTAATTTGTAACAAATATACGATTAAATCTAAATTTATAATATAAACACGTAAATTCTAAAAACAAAATGCAACTAAATAAATGTTAAACCCCAGAAAAAAAAACAAAAACATCTAATTGGCAATTTTCATTGGTTCTAAATCTAAATTAACAAACACACACACGAAATTCTCCTCTCCCTACAGTACTGACACCCTATGGACTCCAGAACGCACTTCCCCACCCCCCAATACCCCAGAAATTAATTGTAAAAAAATAATGTATACTATAGTTTACGATAATCGAAATTAAATCGAAATTAATGTGTTTAGGCCTAAGTAACTTTACAGTTCAGTTCATTGCAAAATTTGAAGAGGATAACGCTTCTTGAAATCGACTGTACGATATCCGACTATATATGGTAATATATGTGGTATATAGTATGCCCTCCCCTCTCTCAATGTGTAAATCAAGTTGTTGTAAATTTGTCTAAAACGATAAATCGAAGCAAGTACAAATTATATTTAATGTATGTGTGCATTTTTATTATTTTAATATTCAATTTTTTTTCCTATTATTTCTTGTTTTTACTTTGAGTTTTTATCGTATATAAGGTCACACTTAAACGAAAAAAGTAAGAAGAAAAGAAAAGCTACAAAAACTTTTGGAACAATGATGAGTACAAAATTTCAGGTAACACAAACAAAATTTAGCAGATAAATTAAAATTAATTAAATATATATAGAGGTATCGATGAATGCAAAATCGTACAAATTTTTCGGCATAAAGTATAAAGTTAAAATTTTAAGGGAAACTGTCAAAAACAGGCAGTTGGTGTGACTTTAAGAATTGAGTGATGATTGAAGTTCAGTTTCATCCGATCTGGATTATCTGGATCTATTTTAATCACCTGTGGATTAGTGCATTTTAAGTTTCTTTCATTTTCAAACAAAGGCAACAAAACTTGAGTTACACATGACAACCTACGTTAAATCATAACCATTTGATTCAACTTTGTTCTGAACTGAAAAGTTTTCCAAAATTACTACCATTTTCACCATTTAAATTCGAAAAAAAACTAAAAGTTCGAATAGAGTCCACTCAGAAAAATAAAAAAGTATATCCAAATATACTTGAAAGACATAATTATGTATATGTAACATAAATGTAAAAGATGAAATAGTTTTAAAAAAACGCAAATCCGTTTGGAGCAAACTCAGGGCATTATCAAGACTCACGACGATGTATACATGCATTTAATATAACAACCTTTTTCGATATGTATTACGATTAAAATAATAATACAAAAATAAAAAAAAGAACAAAAGCGAAAATGAAAAGACAGATGTAATAATCATGCGAAACGATTATGAACAACTCAGGTATTAAATATTAAATGAAATATTTTTAAAAACTTATAACGAAATGAGAACGGCAGTCAAGTCAACATTTTCACAAGTTGTGCAATATTCTTAAAGTTTTCTAAATACGTAATAGTATTAATAATCTAAAAACTAAAACGAAAATAAAAAGGGAAAAGTCAGAGAAAGTGAAAGCAAAACCAATCGGCGAGTTGAGATGTTCATAAGGCATGGATTTGAGGATAAGGCGGGGTTATGTGAGTTTTTGGAAGCACATGACGATTAAACATGTACTTACTACTCCTTTAGCATTTTATTTTTTAACCAAAACCAACCACACAAAAACCAACAAAACTTACAAATACAAACCACAACAAAGGACACACTCAAACACACAAGAATACACATTGACAAACAAAAAAAAATAGTAAAATAAATAGCTAAATGAAAATGAGTTTATATAAAGAAGGAAAACATAAAACTGTGATTACATTTGATTATCGAGACGTTGATGAGCGAATGTTGCATAATTATTGAGCAAAAGAAGGAAAAAAATTGGAATTATTATTGTCTGAAACTGCTTTTGATTTCGAGTATTGGCAAAAATGGTCTATGAATGCGACAGAGCATAAGTAAATAAATATTTAATTAGCCGAAATATTAAACTTCAAAAGAAACAAATAAGAAAATGCAAATTATAATTATCTAAGTTACTTGAGATTAGCGAAGCCTACTAACCTTATTTTACGATGCCAGTTTACCATTTTAACCAGGCTGAAACTAGAGCTGCGAAGATACTTTCGATTTAGTTCACATTTCCCTGAACCATTTCCGCATGTAGTGCACTTTAGTTAAAAATTAAAGTCTGAGATTTTACATTTATGTATATGGTCAAGGTATACAACTTAAAGCGTATTCGAAGTGGAAGTCTAAAACCAAATCGATTAATTAAGTTTATTGAAATACTTATTAAAAATAAAACACACTCTCACTTACACACTCACACATATGTATTTGGCTATGTATGTATGTAAAAATCAAGAATAGAAAGTATAGAAGCTGAAAAAGGATTTAAGAAAGGAGCGACGAAAAACTATGCTATACCAAAATTTTCAGAGCGGCATATGATTTCCATATATGTATAATGTATGTATATCTGAACAAAATGCAAGCGAAGCATTTAAGTAAACAGCTTCAATATATTTTAAAGAAACACGAACTCGGAACTAAAATTTACGATTATGCCATACATTTTTGTGTAACAAATAAAACCTACGAGTAAGCAAAAACCAACAGTCACACAGAAAACCAAACGCATTGTAACAGAAACTCACAAAGCATGGAAAGAAAATGGGAAACCAGATTGGAATTAAGCATAAAAAGTATATGAACGAACCTAAATTCAATAAACTTGTTGCTAAAATATAATAAAACGAAAATAAATGGATTTCTTTTTTGCATATGGGGCGGTTTTTTCTCAGAACTGTAAAAAAAACTTATTATCTGAGGGGCTACTAAGATATATTTCATTAAAGGATCTTATAAGAATTACCAACACTCAGATACATTTTCCTAACCAATTTTAACATTTTTTTAACGGAATTTTATTTCAAATAAAGATTCAAAATTTAGTTGGCCGTCTTTTCGTGTTTTCCAACACTGTTCTAAATGTTAGTATTTTTGGTATTTTTCACAAAGCAGCTGCTACAAAATGGGATATGAAACACTTTAAAGATTTTTTTAAAATCTTTAAACATAAACTTTAAAAAACGTTAATTTAAATAATAAAAACAAAATAATTAATCAAAATACTGTACACATCAGAACATCAAACACAAAGAGACGAAAATGAAGCAATAAATTTAATGAAATATACGGAATTTATTATGGCGCCCTTTAAGAAAAAGCTCAAGTAGTTTAAAAATGTAATAAGAATGACTATTTTTATCCCCTCTATTTATGAATTAAAATAACAAACACAATTAAACAATTTATATGGCATATATTACGTTTATTTTGTTTGAGAAATGTCTAGAACACCAATAAAGTAAATTCTGTAGCAAACAAGTACGATTATTATTATTAAATGTCCATTTTTTGAATGCATTTTATTGCTTTTCATGGTTTTGGTATTGGTTGACTTAATTTTATATTTATATACGAGTAATATGAGTATAATAACCTTTTCAGTTATGAAAAAAGATTCTATGTTCCACAAATGCCGTTTCTATAACAGTTTTTAGTTAATTTCGAGTTAATTGTTTTTAGTTTATCTTTTGTAGTAATTTGTTACAGTTGGAGTGGAAATATTTGGATAATGATTCCACAAAGTATAGAATGCTGTGCTGCTGCAACAGATCGGATATATTCAGGGATTACTGTAACCTTTATACAATAGGCAAACAATTAAAAATAGCCGCTACTTACTAATCAACAAATGTTTTAATCCTCATACTGGTTAATTCTTATTAATTTTTAAATATTTCTTAAATATTCTCAAGCACTTTGAATACAGTTTAATGTGGCTTAAAAATAAATTTGATTTTCATATATAATTGTGTGTACGTTTTCAACGGAATCTCAACATTGCAAGGAAGATATTTGGCTTTAAGTTTTTTGTTTTTTCTTTTTTTTAGTTTTTTAGATAACTCTAGAATAGTTTTAAGGTATAGAAGTTGTGCTATAAGAAATAAATAATAAAAAATAAATCAAACCAAAACAAATAAAAATTATAATTGCATTTTGTTTATTATCGTTTTCCATTTTTTTGTAAGGTCTTAGCTAATAAATTCTGCTAGGAAATTATAAAACTAACAGCATTTTACAAAATAATATCGAGATTAAACTTTGATTGTGGTAAATTTTTTTATACAAATTGAACTTACAGGACTACTAAATGAATTTAACTAAATTACAAAAACAATGACGATTTATTAAGTTAAATCTAAACAAGCTGAGGGAAGTTTTCTTGGCTGGAAAATTGCTCAAAGTGGATATGTTTTTTTTAGTTTGGATTTCTTGTTGGAAAACTTTGAAAGGGCTTTGAGAACTCCGGCTTGGTCCCTTCCCCAGCTGAAACTAATTTGTTTTATAAATTCACATAGTCCGGATTTTAAGGTAGTTTACACGTCAAACTAATCTTCTGGATGCATTTAACAAATATGAAAAATAATGTACATTGGTTTATTCACTATATTTATAAAGTAATCCTAATACTCCTCACGTTTCGTCGTTTGTTACCCCCGAATAACAACAAATTGAACAGCTTTTAGAATTTTGGTTTCGATTATCCCACGAAAATTGGTGTTTTCTCTTCTGTATATTCCATTCCTATATGAGGTTGACCCATCCCACTGCTATACGGTGTCGACAGTACTGTATAATAGCTTCAGGTTTAGAGGTATGTGTGTGTATGAGTTATAAGATGATTTCCGTCGAGCTCTGCTGGAGAGGATCGTGCTGGTAGGCCTCGGCATTTGGTATCGGCGAGTATTTGGAGCTCCTCTTGCTGGACGTGGCTGAATTAAGTGGAGCAGCCGTGGTGGTGGTATAGCTGTAGGTGGTTCCTCCTCCATTCAGACTCGTCACTGCACTCATCAATCCCGGTCCCGGAAACTTGGCCACGGTTACCACACTCGGCGTTAATGTGGCCGTCGAGGAATCATTGCTACCAGCTGGTTTCGTACCAGTCTTGGCAGTGTTTCTCCGGCGTACTGGCGTCTCTTGGAGGACAGCGGACTTCCTGATCGTCTGCTGGAGCAGGGCGTTCACATCGATGGCTGGCCAGGCGACCAGCGAGACACTTCGTCATAAGGAGCTGTCCACCGGCGATGAGCTGCGTTTGTGTTTCGTGTGGGGATTGCGGTTGAAGTTCTTGCAGGCCAGTGGCTCTGCCTCCTTCAGCTCCCTTTCTTTTTTGTCCGGCCTCTCCTCGTCCTGAAGGGGGAAGGATGTGTTTCCTCCAGCTGTAGAGGACAGTGAGAAATACTCCGCCGATTGGCTCAGGGACGAGGCATCTGCATCGGTTAGATTGCCGCCCCCAATGTTATCACTCCTCATGGTGTGATCACCCAGCTCCTGATCCACAAAAGAGGATCTGTGGGTGCTCAACGGTGTTAAGGTGCTGCTGTGCATATCATCGCCCTCCTGGGATGGCGTTATGGTATGATCTGCTGCCGTGCAGAAGCTTTCCCTCTGTCCTGTCGTTTCGTCATCCTCATCGTCAGCTTCCTCCTCATCGTCGCCGGCTTCCTCCTGGGAACAGGAGCCACAACAGCAGCTGGAATTGTGACAGGAACAGTAGCTGGCTCGCCTTGAGCCCGAAATGCACTGATGGCACTCCGCCGCAACGGTCATTTCGTGATGATCCTCGTCCAAACTGCTGCAGGAACACGAGCTGGAGCAACTGCTGCAGTAATCCTGGCCAGGCTCGGCTATGAATCGCTTCCGCTTGATCCTCACGCATTCGTTTCGCACCGGCGCCGAGGCGGGAGCTCCCCGCTTGGTGGAACTACTCGAACTATTGGTGTTTGGCGGCTGGGTGAGATGAGTTTCATCTTCGGGTAGCTGCTGGGATCCCATTTGCACATCGTCGTCGTCCTCGTCGTGCGACAGCTCATCCGTCTCGATGGTCGTGTTGGAGTTCAGGGAACTCCTTCTGTGATGATGCTGCTCCCGCAGGGGCGCCATTATGATGGGCTTCATTCCCTCGCTGGCGACCTTGTAGGGGAAGTTCGAGGTGGCCGTGCTGCTGTTGTTCTCATCGCCATCCTCGCTCATGGTGGCGGCGTCGATCTCAATGGCTATGGCCTGGTGATGCGGTGGCAGTCCATCTTCGCTGGAGTCCAAGGAAGACTTGTTTGGAAGCATTGGGTTGTGGTTCGTCTGCTTGGTGTCCCGCTGGCCATGGTGATGATTCTGCTGGTTGGACTTGTGCCGCTTCTGGTGCAGCAGAGCTCTTCGCTTTGTGCTTCGATAGTTGCAGTGACTGTGACTATGGCTATGGCTGTGGTGGTGATGGTGATGGTGCCGGTGGTGGTTGCAGTGGCAGTGGTGATGATGTGTGGTAATCACACAACAGCAGCTTCCTCCCTCCAACCGTGTCTGGGTGGCATTGTTTCGCTTCCGGCGACAGCAGTTGGCGCTCAGATCCTGCCCTCCAATCAGTCGCTGCTCATTGGAGGCCGGCGAGTGGACAATGACCACTTCCAGGGCCGCGGCCATGCTGCTATCGTCCTTGCTCTTGCCACTGCCACCGGGTCGGGGCAGCATCTTGTTGTTGTTGTGATACTGAAAGGCGCGATTATCATGGCACTGGCCAAAGTCCAGCACCTTGAAGTGCTCGTCGTCCGCCCGGGCGGTGAGGAGGTGATCGTCGCCACTACTGCTCACGGTCACCGGCAGCGAGAGCTGGTGCTCCTCGGAATGGGATGTATGTAGATCGTGGGGATGCATGTGCTGCGGCTGTTCTTCGGGGGCAAACTGCTAATCGCCGCGGCGCACATCCCGCGGCTTGGAATTCTTGCGGTAGAACCACACCTGTGACAGGATAGCTATGTCCAAGCTGACCTGAAAGTGTACTCGAATCTTAGTATCCAATAAGAAGATGTATAGTTGCAATACTGACCTGCAGCGTGCCACAGATCCAGAACTGTGAGGGTGCTTTCCTTACAATAAAGTAACCAGTCTTAAACATATCACCGAGCGTCCACATGATCACCATGTGTATGCTCATTCCATATGTTGATTTATTCTTAAAGTTGCGCAGAAATTGCGGCGCCCCTGAAACGGATGAGTTAAGTTTCAAATACAAGAGTGTGAGATTGGATGTATGGATCATTACCCAGCATGGCCTCCGTGAAGACAGCCACGAAGCCCATGGCCTCCATGAACCAGTGCACCGACAACATCAGATATGTTATGGCAGCCCCAACGGCCCACACCACCAGCATAAAGTCCAGATACGACTGGAAGTCTGTCCAGCTCCAAAAGTACTTAAAGTCAAGATCTGTGAAAAGATTCATAAAATATCGTTGTAATATATATCTCTTGAAATCACTGCGCTTTTCCCATTACCTTTGCCATTTCATAATCGCTTTCATAAACTTTTCTCAAAACAACCATTAGCTAGGCAAAGGTCAAGGGTCAAGCTGGCAATTTACAGTCCCATAAATCGTTCAAAACCTGAAGACCAGACCCCCCCGCACAGAAAAAACAACAGCGACTGCAGATGGCAAGCCAGTTGGAAATCAATTTTCATTATCTTGGCCTGCTTTTAGGCGCTGCACAATTTACGACAAGCCATGCCACAAAGAAGCCCAAGGCGTGCCAATATAATTAGCTCATGCCAGAGTGTGGGTGTTGTACTATACTACCATATAGTATAGACAATATACATATAGATAGTCGGTTCATTGATCAATTTACCCCAACGGTTGGCAACAGGGCCCCAGAAGGCAGGAGGTCTAAGGCCCTAACCCAGTTTCTGGGTGTTGGGTGCTCAGTGTTTCTATTTCCACTGATAAGAAGTAATGAAGGAGAAGAAATAAATGCGGATAGGCAACGACCGAATCATAAAGATAAAGTCTGCTAAAATAACAGAAGGTGCAGCTCCCTGTTTTCATTTAAACCTAATGGAATTCTTTCTCTTGGTGCCCATCATGACTCAATTTCAATCTTTTCCAGCAGTTCTGACACCGGAAATTGCCATCAATGCCGTGAGTGAAAAGTTTTCCCAAAAACAAATCTTAGAAAACGTTGCAGCTGACTCACCGTTTAAATAATGCCGGGAACGTACTCGCTTCAGGACGCTACCGCCCGGGTCTGTGGAAACCGAGGCTCCCGTATCCGTGTCTGTCATCACCTTGGGCAAATGCAGTTCATCACCTGGAAAGAGGGGGTCAGATAGTTGACTTGTTTATCCTGTCAGGTGGTGTATTGGGACTCACCTCTCAGGGTATGCTCGCGGTTATTGGCATTCACCCGCTTCACCTTCACGCACAGATGGATCATCAGGAACATGGTCACGTTCATGACGACACTCTGCACCAGCAGTGGAAGCTCATACCGGCTGGAGAACCTGCGCAGAAACCAAGAACAAAAAATGGGTAAAGGTCAATCGGAAAGGTTAATTTAAAGTGACATTATAATTAACTTGTTTTACAATCAAGCTTTGGGAATAAAAGCTATAGTCTAGGGGGAAACTTTAATATATTTAATTGCGGCAATTATAAGAATCATAAACCCCAAGAACATATATTCTTTGGAAAATTCCCCTGAGGTGTGGAAACCCATTTTTCACACCTCAATCCAAGCCCTTTCTAACGACCAAACCCCACTGTTCCACCCAAAAAAAAGTGCCTAAAGGTCTACACCAAACATATTATTATTTTATCTCCCCCAGGTTGACAACTTCCTTGGCCCAATCTGGAGCAGGGTGTAGCGTTAAGTACTTTTAATTGACAGGTGCTTGAGTGGCTCGAACAACAAGTGATTGATGTGTGCGCCCAGTAGCATAATTCACCCACGGACAAAATCGATTATGAGTACTGCCTCAGGGACCAGGACCAGAATGAAACGCCAGGGCCCTGTCATAAATCTGACAGATGCCAAGTGGGTGAGAAAAGGGTCCCCAAACACAAAAAACAAACAATGAGGGAATGGAACGTGTTGAGGCCATCAAACAAAAGCCGGACAAACCAAACATGCGGCTCAAAGGGAAGTCAACAGATTTGCTAGGGATTTGTTTGGAGGTCCCAATGCCAAGTGTCATTACAAACAAAAAAAAACAGAAGAAGAAAAAAAAGCGACAATTTGTTGGTATATTGTTGGTTGTTGGTGCCTCACATCCAAACAGCAGATAGCATACATTTCCGCGTTGCTTCCGATTGCCAGGCTGCCAGAAAACGAGGGGCAGGATGACATCCTCCCCTCTTTGCAAGTCAACGCCTTTGGCATGTCGTTCTGACATGACATGGAAATTGAATTACAAGCTGTACTGTGCCAAGTCAATGCCTCTCTTTATAGAAACAACTGAATCATTGAATGACTTTAAACAGGACATTCAATAAATATTCAAAAATATATGCCGAGTATAACAAATAGTCCTAATGCATTCTCAGTGACTTGTCCCCTCGTTACTAGCCCCAAATGGTGGGGTTTTGCCATTTAAATTGGCGACAAAAAAACTGAAAACACCAACGCTTACAATTGCACGGTTCAGCGTGTTAAATACGTCGTAAAAAATCGATAAAATAATATACGTGCATTACAAGCACACTCGACATTCGGCGGCATGTTCTCAGTCCGTAATGTAAACAATTTTCCAACTACCAGGTATTAGTTACTCCCCAAAACCTCCATACTTCTAGTCCTACATTTTCAGGCTCACTTTCAATGGCAATTTGTTCGAATAGCCGCACAATTTGTCCAAATTGGGAGCGGGGGTGGCCACGAAAGTGTCACTTAGGCTTGATGAAAGTTTTATTGATGGAAATTTCATGGGGGCGTCTCTATTCTGCTGGTAAATTAAGTCACCGAAAATGAGCACACATGCACGTGACACGGCCGGATGGCTGTCTGTCTGGGTTTAGTGTCTGTTTTTAGAAATAATTAAAATTCTGTGTTGCCTTCAGCGCAATGTTTACTCAAGTGGGTGGGCTTTTGGCCTAATGTCTGAGATACAGTGGTTATCATAAGCAGGTACTTTACGAATATTTCTTAAATAAAATATTAAAATAACTAAGAACCAGCTCAGACCTCATACCCCCTTTTCAAACTAAAGCCTTTAATATCTTGCACCTATAATTTTTCCCACAATAGTAGTAGTTGTACTAACTTAGTCCTGCGCTTAACACAAATTTCATTTGGGTTTAACTGGCGTGCGGACGCCTGTAAGTAGGCTACACTTTCTGTGGACAAAAGTCCTCATCATTGTCTCACTGGTGAAGGGCTCCTAACTAACGGAAACCGTGGCACTCAAGTCCATGCATTCCGGCTATTTCGGAACCACTTTAGGATAGGCTCATGGATGTGTGTTTGCTTCGAGGATTGTGTAAACACAAGCTGGTGCCTGATGAGCATTAAAAGGGGGTAAAAAAAATCAAGAAATATATAGAGAACCAACAACCGGAATGAAGTGACTATGGGATGATGATGAATGCCCATAACTGGGTCGATCTGTGCTAAGCTAAGCTGTTCCAAATGACCTTGCCAAGGATAAATCAAAGAAAGACCGACACTGCCGCCCCACTAGAGAGGCTCGAAAAAGTGTGTTAAGCTGTGACTTGAAATTCACACTTTGATCATCGAACCAAAAGCCGATAATTAACCAATAAAGAGATCTACAAACCAGACTAGACGACAATAAGTTAGCGCGTTTTATTAACTAGCAAATAAGAGTTAAGGTTTAAGCAAATATTATCATATTTCACCTACAGTAGAGTTCTATAGAAGGAAAAAAAAATCAATAAAATATAAGAAACAACCTGCAGCTCGTTGACATTCCATAGAGAGAATGAGACAATAAATATTTTATTATAGCATTTGATTTGCTCAATGAAAATTAATGCGAACAAAGCTCACCCACATGGCGCTAAGCCCATAAAACCCCAAATGGAAATACATACAAAGGCCTCTAGCCACCCCGGAGTTTGGTTGGGAAAAACACTTCAATTTAGGCCCCTCCTCCGGAAAACCCACATCCCGAGGCGATAGCGGCAAAGTCAAGACCACATGCACACACCGATAACAATGTCATAGGCAAAATAATATATATATAAAATGGGGAAAGCAATGCCACAATTGAAAATGGAAAATAAAAGGCCAACCAACCAACCATACCCGAGGAAAACAATTCCCCCGATTTGCATATGAACACCAGAAATTTGTAGCCCTTCCGATATCAGATATATTCATGTCCTTGCAGATACATAGGTCTCTGAGCTCAGAGTTGATTGAGTTAGCCACTACTTGGCGATTTGCATTTTATTCTTTGAGTTGCCCCCGACCTGCCACAATCGCACTGGCAGTGGGTGCCACTCGGCTATCAGAAGCGATTCCAAGTCATGCGCCTTAAAGGCTTAACCGAATACATGTCAATGCCGTTTTGGGGGACACAGCTGCTTCTCGAAGGCAAGTCGAGCGTGATAATGCTTTTTAAACTTTATATCCGCGTTTTTTTAACGGAGCATGCGATTAAATGGGGAAATAAAGTCAACTTTTGCGTGGAAAATAATCAATAATGCCCCACAGAGAGGCACCTTTAGCTTGACCTATCCAAAACTTATATAAGCCGCTTATTTTGCTCCGCAGGCCCACAAAATTAATGAAACATTCAAGTTGAAATTTAATATTCCCCCAGCTAGCCACACGCAGATTATCTCTGGTTCTGAATAGATATATATTATATGATTTTCTGCTCAACTCTGCCGGTGTGCCGGCAAGTGTACAATATATCTATTTTAATTGAGAAATTGAAATCAGTGTCTGTTGCGTCAGTCAACGTCAACGTCACACATATTCCGGACATGCAAAGAAGCCAGATGGAGGCAAGAGCTCCCGATTGGATTGGGTTTGTTGGGTTTGTTCATTCAGCAGTTCTCCGACTCGGCAGTAAACATTGGACGGCGAATGGATTGACGGCATTTGTTCATCCGCCTTGTTTTCGAACTACACCGAATTAACAAAACATTAAGGGTGTTGTGGCTCAAGAGGCCTCTTTTATATTTAAGTCCCCAACTGGTTAGATATTCTATCCACGCAGCAAATTACAAATCTGTTTCAAGCCCAAATCGCACAAAAACACAACCCGGTCGAAAGGCAAAGCCAAAGCTTGGCATTAAAATTCAATTAGGCCAACGTCTCTGGCACAAAGCCCAACAAAAGCGAAAGATTAACGTTGTGTTTGCTGTCTCTTGAATTTAATTTTCTGTCCTCTCCGCACCTGTGACCTGTGAGGATTTTAGGGATTGGTCCCCTCATCACAGCACGAAATATGGCGTGGATAGCTTTTTCACGACTCTTTGTTTAATTACGCCGAAGCCCAACAAAAAAAATCTTGAAGCAAAGGCAGTGTGGAGATAAGAGCTCTTAGTTGGTTGACCTTTGGCCCTAACCGCACCCAGGTTATCACAATGATTCGCATTGAAAGCAAACTTTTAATGAAAATGGAACAAATGCGATTGAGATAATGCCAATCGACTTAAGATGTAGGCTTCCTAGAAACTAACGTATATATATAGTACATTGTAATAGAGATAGCCCCGTGGGTCGACTTAGTTGTGAGGCCGAAACGGAAACTGATAATTGGCTCAATTAAATAGAGAGTTTAGGGTGCCTGGGATGAGCTCACAATTAAGATGATTAAAATGGGGGAAGCGTGTTGACAGAATGAGAGCTTAATAGCAAGGGACTAACTTGTTCGAACTATTTCCTAACATAAAAGATAACTTTTGGAAAATATATTAAAAGCAAACTTTGTAATTTCTCAGCAAATGTTTTGTGAATTCATCTTGAATTTCAAGTGTTCTCGAAAAGTTGCCAAACAAAGTAGTGGCCTGACAACTTTCAGAACTTCCAGAAATTATAAATCTTGTACCGCAGCTTCAACCACAATTTAGTTGGCAACCACCCAGGCAACATTTCAGCATCGATGAGAGAGGCGAGTCAAGTGCAATGACGTTTAGAATTCAAACCAGAATTCAAGCACCATCATTATTGGGGTTTCAGCAATCAAAACCGGTTCAAAAATTCTAAAAAAAAAACAAATCTAATTTGCATGCGAAGCGAAAATAAGTCGCCGCAGCGGGAGACCAAAAACCGTAAACATTTATGGGCATTACTACTACCAGTGAAGGGGATCTAATGCCCCAAAAATGACCCTCCAACAAAATTAATTGAAACAGGCCCTCCCTCACATCACTTTCGAGCCCCAAAACCTTGACCTTCACCCAACAACTGTTAAACAAACTTGTTCTTTTTTTTATAATTTTTTTTGTGGCAAGTGAGTGGTAAGAATTAATAATAAATAAACAAGGAAACTGGGCCAAAGCTGATATAAATAAAAATGAATGAAAGTCGTGCGGGCAGGCTTTAATAAATTATTAAAAGAAATTAGATTAGATTGGAAAATGTCTCATTTCGCTATCTCGTGCCAGCCAAAAGGTATTTTAATGATAACCAAATTATAAATTACGAAATGATTGAGTGGACCTGTGATACTTTTTAGATATCTATTAAAATGCCATTATCTACTGGTGCATAGCATTCAGGATTACGAATGCCTATTTATTGATAAGTTTTACGTAAACAAATTAATTGGTTGGAGTAGACACACGCCTTGTCGGTTGGCGAGACTGGGGTTATCTTTTCAAATTTATATACCGATAACAGGGGTCTTTTATGGAAAACACTTGTGAGGAAAATGGGGCGAGAATGAGGCGGTATAGCAGCAAATAGATTGCTTCGAAGGTACTATCAAAATTCGAATGACGAAAAATGACAGCAGATAGGGGACATTTTTGTGAAAAGATCACTTATCAGTTTAGGAAGTGGTTGTGTAAATGCCAAGACAACAAATAATTAACAAAATTGATTGTTTGTCTGGCAAATAAATTTCAGAAGAAACAATCGGCAGTTTGTTTGATTAGAACTTGATATGAAGTGGGGGTCTTAGAGGGTATTCTATAAGGTTTTGAAACTATATTAATTTTTTCTAAAAAAATTTATGTATTTTTCAGGCCATTTCTAAACAGAAGAATCCAATTAGTCAGCAAATTTTCAGACTTATTACATTTCCTTCTTGATTGCTTAACTTTTAAAGCTTCTCCAGTCGAGTTCAATGAACCCCGGGGCCAAGTTCTCCAACTTAACCCTTCACTTTACGCCCCCTAGGCACCATTTCAAATAAAGTTGAATAATATGAAAAGTTGGCACAACATTTTGCAACAATTTAAGCGAGTTCACAAGCTCAAGTATACAATTAGTTTAAAATATGAATATTTAAAATGTGAACTATACAATTTTAATTACAGCCAAAACCGTTGCCACGTTTTTTGTTAATTTGTTAAGTGTAAATAGCCCGACGATTGAGAGCAATTCACTGACAAATTGTGTAAATATTTAAGCAAATTGCAAATATAGAAATGACTGGGTCCGAGTCAGGCCAACACACTGTCTACACTATATAGTATAGGCCAATATCCATTGTATCGGTGTAAACTACAATTCATATTTTTAGTCCAGACCCGTAGACTTGTTTTGTCACGGCCCACTGCCCTGAGCCAAGTCGATTGAGTCATAATTTTTTTTGGGTCGATTTTTTGTGAAATCCGACTCGGTTTTGTTGGATAAATAAATTAACTTTATATACATATATATTTATTATTAGTCATAGACCAGAATAAACGCCTATATGGAGCTACCATTATTTAATCTAGAGTTATATAGGTTTCCTTTAATGGTATTCTTGAATATAAGGTTTTCCATGCCCAGATAAGACTGCTGAAGCATAACAACACTCTTCCGGAATTATTATTTTCTTGGAACTGTTAAGGGCTCTTGAAATAATTCCAAAAATTCTGTATTTCTTATCATGAGAGAATACTATTATTTACAAATTAAATTCCCTTTCCACTGCCATTTTTTAAGAGTCATAGTAATTAATAAGCTTCGTTTTCCAGCAATGAGCTCATGCAGAAGCCTCTAGGGTCGGTCGGTGTTGGGTTCTTGCGCTTCATCCCAGTCAGGGCTTGCGAATGATCAAATGTAAAATATATATACATATATATACTCACGATCATCAACAAAGCAATGCATGATAATAATATTTTTTTTTCAGATGTGTCATCGGCTTTGTTCCTACCACTTACATTGTTTCATTGTCTGGAAAGTTTTCCTCTCTGGTGTGAAAACCCTTACTTGTTATTTATATTTTTAAGACACTAAATTATTAATTGCAGTCTGGCAATTAGTTGTGATTTAAGCAAGTCGTGCAACTACTATAACAGGAAAGCGAAATTAGTGCAAGTGGGCGTTCTCAGACGGTTCTAAAGAGATAAGACGCTAAAAATAATAATTATCTTTATAGCCATAAACTAATAACCCACTGCACTTCCTAAACTCGTGCATTTATTCTCATTCTTACTTCCTTTCATTAGTTGAGTTAACCTCCCAGGTTCTGTTCTTCATTGAAACTCATCGCGTGACAACAATAGAAAAGTACAATAGACCTCCCACAATGAAACTCGTAAACATCTTTATATAGTATATATAGAATAGTGTGGATAGATTATTAGGCGGCAAGCCGATGCATTCACTTTACTTGCCGGCAACAATTTTCAGCTTAAATAATTCATATATTGATTGCCACGCAGGCTAGACAAATTGACGAGGGCCACCAGTTGCTTTATAGGCTTTACAATATTCCGTCTTTTCGATCATTTATTTATAGGAAGCAGCTATAAGCTCTTCAAAAAACACTCATAAAAGACACAGCTTTAAAGGGGTAAACAACAAAAACAGACAAAAACCAGCTGGGCTAAGAGTAGTTGACCCTGGGTTGAGTCTGAAAAGGCTATCAGGTGTATTGTGGTCTACTGAGACTATCAGAATTCCATGGTAAATATTTAAGCGAGTTCCCAAAAAAAGTGTCAGAAAGAGAAATTCAATCAATAAATTCATTTAAAAGCAGTTCCAACTGGCTTGGCTTAAATGGCATTGTGACATTTTGAGAGCTATTTTGCACACTCATTCAAATTGAATTAAAAATTTATTTTATTAATTTTGATTTATGTATGGTATGTGGATGCCTCGGCTGAACGATGAACCAAGCTCTCATGGGGGTGGAAATTGTTTTGGTTTTATGATATTATATGGATGCTTCCATATATAGTCTTATCATAATAATCAAGAATACATATGTTATCAACTTTTCTTCCATAAGCCATATTTTTTTTTCAGATCACCATGAATGATGATAAATCCTTCATTTATTATGATTATTGATCCCATTATTGCCAAGTACCATATCGTAGCTAAAACCATAAAGATATATGCCCAACAGTTCAACAGTCCTTGGAGATTTCGGAGTAATCTATGAGGTGGGAATTCGACTAGAAATCATGACATAGCTATACTGAGATATGGGGGTTCTACAAAACAGAGTCGCGACGTTACGCGATAGAATTTCGTACGATAAGCACCTGAATTGCCCCCCTTGATAACCCGCGATAAGAGGTGTTTGGAGAGTGGGTTTAGTCATTCCATAAGAGTTTTACCCGGGGTTTAACTAAAAATGGATTAAGGTGTACACTTCAGAAGTATCTTAAAGATACCTACTGTGAATAATCTATTCCATTTCATAGTCCATATAATAAAAGGAATTTTTATTCAAAATTTTGTAAAATCAAAGACTTTGAAACATCTGGAGTACAGTCATGATTGATTTATGGCTGAGATGAAAGGTATGGCATTCGAAAAGTTTATTTTTATTTCCCCCCAACTACTTGAGCGTATTTTATAGCATTTTTTCGTTAAAAATTTAAGGAAATTTTGGCAAAGATTTTCAAAAATTCAAATACATACCAGAAGAGTATTCTCAGAGAATTCGCTATCAGCAGGGCGAGACAGACGTAGAGCGAGAATCCTTCCGCATCCTGGGTCTTCTTGATTTCGATATATTGGGGCACATAGGGGATAACACCGCCGATGACCATGGCCGATGCAGCTGCCCCGCCCACCAAATGGCCCACCGTAAGGCCCAACTCATCGTTGATGATCCAATCCATTGTTTTTATTTCTTAAAATTTAGATTTACTTGAAAATTTTTATATTTTTAGGATATTTTTTGTTGTTTTATAGGCTGTCGGATATGTGTGTTGTTGTTTTTGTAGTTTTGTTGACTAGAGGTTGTTGTTTTTGTTGCTGCGAAGCCGGTTCTTGGAAGTAGACGTTGTTGTTGCGGATGCGATTACTGTTATTTGCATTATAAACGTCGAAGAAGATTAGCGTGGGAGGAAGGAAGTACAGGAAGTCAGCTGTGGTTCTTGTTGTTGTTGTTGTTATGATCTCGTTCTCTTGCAGAGGCACACACTCTCACACACATACACAAACATAAACACAGGTAGGCCAAACACTATTATTTTTCGCTTCTCCGCTCTCTCTCTCTCTTGCTTGCTTTGTTTTTGTTGTTGTGCAGTTTTTGTTTTTCTTTTTGGCTTTCCGCGTTTTTGTATTGAATTTTCCCCGAAAACGCGCGCCCCGTCGCCTAGGCCGATGATGATTGCTTCCCTCTACCTTTCACAAAATTGTCAGCAAATTTCCTGCGCATACTAGACCAGAAAATGAAGGGGGGCCTTCACACAATACGCTCCATTTCCACCAAAAACACATCACTCATCACCGCACTTTTCATATGTTCTCTGCATTTCAATTGCATTTTCCTCCGTTGACTTTTAATTGAGTTAAATTTTTTTTGTCGTTGTTGTTGTTGTTGATGATTTTTTCCGACGTTGCGGAAAACTGCGATTAAATGCTGTTCGTTTATATCGTCTTGGTATTCGCTTTAATTCGATTATTCAAGTTTTTGTGGCGCTTGTCATATCTTATCTTGCCTGTATTTGCATTTTCCTGCAAAAACCGTCCGCGGACCAACGGCACACAGCGAAGAAAGTAAGGAAGAAAGTGGCAAAAAGACGAGAAACAAAACACACAACTGCCTCGGAAGGCAACTATTTGGCGTTTGGTGAAGGGTCTTGGTTTTTATTATCATGTTTATTGGGCACACTTTTCAAATTAGTGTGACCAGAGATAAAGACAGCTGATTTTTCGGTTTTTGCTTTGAATTCATATTCTTACCGGTTCATGTATTTTTAACCGGTTCGTTATTTTTATAAAAAAAAGCTCAAGGCGCCATAATGCATATTTTGAATATTCTTAATATTTTTAAGATTTAGTAAGAACACCTATATCTTAAACTTTTCTTATTTTGTTTTTTAATATACAAAAACTGTACAAGTCGCCATTATCACAGTAAAAACTGAAGATTATATGAAGTAAGATTGAACTAAGCAAATATATAGGGGGTGACACAATAACATTTCGATTTTAAGGAGATGGTTACTAAAACTATTTAAAAATTATAATTTAGTTCTTTCGTTTCTTCTTGTCCGCTTGTCCCAGACCCTGAGACTCCTGGTACTGGCGCACAATCTGGTCCTGGACATCTGGCAGGCAGGGCGAGTAGCGGGAGTACTCCATGGTGAACTCGCCCTTCCCCTGGGTGCTCGATCTATAAGATAAATAATTAAAATAGTTGATATATGAAAGATATTCCCCACTCACCTTAACTCTCCAGCATAACCGAACATATCATTCAGGGGAACCTCTGCGTAGACAGTGAACCAGCCTTCTGTTCCCTCAGTTCCGGTGATGATGCCATGACGTTTGCTCAGATGACCCATCACGGCGCCCTGGAACTCCTCGGGTGCCGTGACCTCCACCAGCATAATGGGTTCCAGGATCTGCCAGTTTCCGTTCTGGAAGACCTCTTTGATGGCACCATGGGCAGCCAGCATGAAAGCCAACTCACTGGAATCCACAATGTGGTGACCACCATCCTGCAGGCGGAAACGGATGCCGGATAGCTTGTGGCCCGAAAGCATGCCCTTCTCGGCCATTTCGCGGTATCCTTTTTCAACTCCGGGCACAAACTGCTTGGGTACATTGGTGCCCACAGTTTCATCCACAAATTCCAGCAAAGTATTTTGGTTTGGTGGCAGTGGCTCCATGATTCCTATAATTCTGGCATATTGACCCGAACCTCCAGACTGCTTCTTGTGTAGATAATCAAATTCGCAAGGTCCCACCAGAGTTTCCCTAAATGCTACCTTGGGCTTGCCCAAGGTCACTGGGCAACCGTATTCCCTCTCCATTCGCTGGGCATAGATCTCCAGATGCAGCTCTCCCATGCCGGAGACAAGGGTTTCCTTCACATCGTTGTCGAAAAAGAAGTGGAAAGTGGGATCTTCCTTGGTGAATCTCGCAATGGCCTTGGAGAAGTTATCCCTATCCTTGGTGTTGTTTGGCTTGATGGCCATCGAGACGACAGGTTCAGGTACAAAAATGGACTCCATGGCCAGGTTGTTCTTGGGATTGGTGGTGAAAGTGTCTCCAGAAGCGCAGTCCACGCCGAACAGAGCAAAGATATCGCCGGCGTACACCTCGTTAACATCCTCCATTTGGTTGGAATGCAGACGAACCAGACGAGCTATTCTCACTTTCTTGTTGGTGCGGGCATTGAAGATATTGTCGCCCTTACGAAGGACTCCCTGGTAGCATCGGAGGTAGGTGAGTTGTCCGAAACGACCAGCCTCCAGCTTGAAAGCGAGACCGACAAAGGCATCTTTTCCATCACGAGCAGGATTAAGGACTATTTTCTCAGGGTCCTGACCCTCTTTTTCGACAAAGGCCAGGTTCTCCACCTCACCGGGATTGGGCAAGTACTCCAGCACAGCATCAAGCAGGGGCTGAACGCCCTTATTTTTCAGGGCAGTTCCCACTAAAACGGGGGTAAAAGTCCTCTTGATGCAGGTCCTCCTCAGAGCGGCCTTGATATCATCCTCGGTGAAGGGTTTCTCCTCCAGGAAGAGCTCGCCGAAGGTGTCATCTGCATTGGACAGATGTTCTATCAGTTCCTGCCTCCGCTCCTGGCTCTCCACCCGCATGTCTTGTGGGATCTCATCCAGCCTAACATTCATTCCATGTTCTCCCTCGAAGTAGAGTGCTCTCTCACGCACCAAATCCACTATTCCCTTGCAGTTGCTCTCCACGCCGATGGGCAACTGGATGAAAGCGGCATTGTGATTCATTTTGGAGCGCATCTGGGAGAGAACCCGGTAGGGATTGGATCCCATTCGGTCCAGTTTGTTGATGAACGCCAGGCAGGGAACATTGTAGCGTTTCATCTGACGGTTGACGGTCAGGGTCTGACTCTGGACTCCTCCGACAGCGCAAAGGACTAGCACAGCTCCGTCCAAGACGCGCAGGGCACGCTCCACCTCCACGGTGAAGTCCACATGGCCCGGGGTGTCGATGATGTTGATGTTAGTGTCTTTCCAAAGAGTGTAAGTGGCTGCCGACTGAATAGTGATGCCTCGCTGCCGCTCCAGCTCCATGCTGTCCATGGTGGCGCCCACGTTGTCCTTTCCACGCACCTCGTGCATCTCCGCAATTCTTCCGGTGTAGAACAGGATCCGCTCCGTCAACGTGGTCTTGCCACTGTCTATGTGCGCCGAGATTCCGATGTTCCTGATCTTGTCGATCGGTCGGTGCTCCGCGTACTTGGCATGCGAGCTGTAGCCGGCCTGTGGAGTTAAAATTACATTAATTAATTACATTCTTCCAATTACATAACCCGGCAAGGGGTTTCGGTGTTTATGGTAAACTTATAGCTCACCCGGCTCATGGTTTCCAGAGCCCTCAGCCGCAGGGGACTGCTGGCAGTCAAGAGGCGTGTAATTAGCGACATCCCGGCTAGTTTTAATTAATAAAATGGAATATTATTAAAAAACACGCGCGATGAGAGCTGGATTTCAGGTGAGAGGGTCACTCTTCAGCTAGTCAGCTGATTGCCAAGCCAGTGTGGTCACACCCCTTCATTATGTCAGCTGTTCTGTTTAGAGACTGTTATGCCCCTGTAATTTAATAAATTTTGCAGTTTGTTTATATTTTGAAATAATAAATAAAATTCACTTAAATAAATTATAAGAACTTAAAATTCTCTAAATAAAAATAAGAGTCTGCGGAGGAATAGTGGTACTTTCCCAAACTTTTCTTTGAACTTCTTTTAAAACAGTGCAAGTCGCCATAGTTTCCGCCATTTTTCAAAGGCACGCCATTAAAAAATGGCAGCCATCATAATTGACGCCATTACCGGAAGTCAATCCTTCCCCATTCAATTCCCCATTAAAATAATAACTATTCCTTTTTGTATACATTTATTTCAACAAATTTCCTTTAGTATCAAGGTATACGAGTATAAGATTGGTTTTCGAGGTGTCGCTTGATATGTTGCCAGCAATTAATTTGTGCCACAAATCGCACTTCGGGGTATCAATACGAAAAAGGGGACGGTTGGTGGTACATAAATATCATAAATTCATAGACACGATTATAGACACACAGAGCTAATGTACAGGTACACAGATATACGCTAAAATTTAATTTAAATCATCGATTCAAACGGATGTTTCTGTTGGTGTAAGATATCCACGCCACAATTGCTTCGACGTATCAAATTTTGTGTTCTGCAATGATGAGATATTAGAGTTAATAATTGTGATTTGTGCGATAAGTTAGCTCTAAGCCTATTCTCATTTATACAGACTATACGTACACTTATATTCTCAGGTAAATGGTATAGAAGATGCACATACAGACATCAAACAGGATGCTAAATGGAGCCATGAATTATTGATAGTTTGATAGTTTGGAAACAGAGTTTGCATCGAAAGTGATTTTTTATTTAATAGCAAACTCTGATTCTTAAAGGATGTCTGATGCTTGATACATTCGAGTTATGGTTGACAGGCAGAAGTCGATTCAGGTGCTATTTATATGAATGTTGAGAGATATAGATTTGGGAGCAGTAAGTGCCACACGTAAGACTCACAACTATATGCACAAAATACACTGAAAACGAACGATGCATACCAAATATGTATAAAGAAATGAAAGATACAGAGTTCGATTCTCATTTAGAATTTGTGGCTAATTAATTGCTTGCCACTTTTATTCAATAATTATAGTTGTATATAGTTTATATATATATATAGTATTATTGGGTAGGATGTGTGCGTTTTTGTTTCGAACTTAGTGTAAGGCATAAAGTATAATACAATTGTTTACAGTTTTGTCTTGGCCAGACTAAATGATAACCCCCTTCCCGACCCCAAATCACAGTTCAAGAACTCCCATATAACACACAAATCGCTTTAGCTAACCAAGTCAAAAATTGATGGAAATCGGAAAAACATCGGCCCTCCGATGACATCTATTTGTAATATATTTCTTTGGAATTGACTCTATAAAATTCGGTTCAAAATTGTATATGTTTGAAGTGTTTTGTTGGTTTACTATTATTTATAGTATTTATCTGTAATACTTGTATAACTTGTACCTGAGCCCCAAATCAAAATGTAACCCTCTACTGGCACTGCTACAAAAACGTTTACCAAAAACCCTTTCATGGAATAACTACTACGGTATATAGTAAATATAGATTATGATACTGTTGTGAATGGCCAACTACAGATACATAGATGTGTGTGTTCTTTGTTCGTTTGAAAAATCAGGGATCTCTAGAGATCTTTAAACTGGCGTTATGTTGGCAGGATTCTGGGTGATATTTGATCCTTCGAGCTTGGCAGCCGCCTCCTTGCAGTTGCTCATTTGGTGTTGCTGTTGTCCTGCTGTGGGATTCCCTGGATTATTGTTGCTGTTGGCCATGGCTTCACTGTACTCGTCCGCCTCATGCATGGGTGAGAGGCGTGGCGATAGGGCGGCACTCGAGGGAGTACTGTAGAGAGACAGGGAAGGCATGGGGGTATGCGAAACCGAGCATGAATGATTTAAAAGTTTTACACTCAGAAAAAATGACAGAAGATGCCAATCAAGATTTAAGGAAAAACACAAAAATCAGTGGCGAAATCAATATTTTTTTTGAGTGTATTAAAAAAAGGAGAGTAGATAGTTTTATATACAAAAGATCGAGCATAGTTCTAGCGGCTCATGAGGAGTTCGTATGAGATCTGACTGAGCTGACTGGATCTTCGGATTTCAGGATCTGGGATTTTGGGAAGACTCTTTAGTGGGAAGACTTACTGGTTGCCATTGATCTGACGGACTTTCACCGTGACCGGAATGATCAGCTGCTCCGATATTCCGTTGCCATCCTTGTTGATCTGCTGCCAGACTGTGGTCCGATTGACCGCCTCCTGGGGAATGTTAATGGTGGGTCCATTGTTGCTCGGCTTGTTTCCGGATAGGGGAATATGGATGGTGGTGGGGCCCGATTTATTGGCATTATAATTCGTCCCGGCACCAGGCGCCCCAGGCGGTTGCTGATGATGATTGTCCTTCAATACAAAAATTTGCACAAATTGCATAGTTTTTTGGGACCCAAACATATCATTGAGGGAGTCAAGGATCAGTAAGGAAGTGGAAAAGTAGAGATAGCAAATCTGGTCTAAGGTTGCAGGAGTGAAAGAGAGAAAGAGCTCGCTAAATATTTCGCTAAATATTTGATCGTGTGTTGTTGTGTGAAAGCCAATTCGGTGGTGGGGGGTGTATTTAAAATTTTGATTTATGCCAATTTTTTGTTTAAAATTTTATTTGTTTAGGCTTTTTTTGTTTTGTGTCGCAATTTTGGATTTTGCCCTTGCAATTTTTTACATCAATTTTCACTACAATTACGTGTATGTTTTTTGTCGCTGGTTAGTTACTGGAACTCTAAACCCGATGACTATAAATAACGTAACAGGTTCCGTTTAATACATTAAGGTACTTGTTGTACAGTGTAAACGTTTGACTAATTATGACTTATACTAGGGTTTCATTTACATTTATAAATATCATATTATATATATATAGAGGGTAAGTAGTTTTTAGAGTAGGTTCGCATAGATAACATATTATGATTAATTTTTCTTGCACTACATAAAAACAGATAGTTTCTCTTTTGTTTTCATTTTTTGTGGTTTTCGCATTTACAAGTGGTCTAAAAGCTTGTGTTTTAGCATATAATCAAAAAAGAGTATAAACAAGTTTATCAAAAATAATCGTACGTATAAAAATCAAAATGCAAAATAGCTGCATGCGATAATTTTTAAGTTTAAATTAAAATAGAGGAAAGAAGGAGAAAAACATTTACAAAATACTGTTAAAGACATGATAAAAACGTGTATAACAGATTATAATGCATATACATGGATTATATAGAACTATAGTTGTAGTTTGAAGAAATGTAACAAGACCGACAAAATGCAAATTAATCCAAAAATCGAAATAAGCGATTTTATCGGAATCGGAACCAACGCTGGGTTCCTTTTTTTTGTGCGGTGGACTGGGCAGCACTGCAAACGCAAATGAAATGGGCAGCACTGGTCCGTGGGATTTTGTTTCTTTATGTGTTTTCCTTTTTTTGTATTTTTGTTGTGTTTTGGGTGAGTGGTGTTGTGCTTGAAGAGGTGTAGGTGTGTGCTGGTTGTCTCTACTTGAGAAGACTGCTTTGTGCCTCGAACTCCTTCTCATTTGCATTTGATGTGGTGCACTTGATGAGGCCCAGACCCACAGCACTGCCCGCATCACCACCAGGACCAGCCGGTTTATTCACCACCCGGCCCCCACGGCCCTTTCCGAACGGAAATATTCTCGCCAATAAGCCCACCTCAGCGTCCAGTTTGTGGAGATCGTCAGCCGCCGCCCTCTTTGTCATTTCCGGCATTATGTCGTCCAGAATCTTCAGTTCACGGCGCGTGAACACCAGATCCAGGGCTTTCCTTATTCCAATCATCACCACCAACATCAGTGGGAACAGGATCGAGGTCTGTGAGAAGGATTTAATCAGCCAGAGGATAATAAGACAAGCCAATTGGATAATCGTGAACAGGTGAACGCGTTTGATGGGAACCTGCAGGGCGAGTCAAATCAAAGAATTAGTTTTTGTTAAAATAAAGTAGAAGACTTGGTTTGTCTTTTATAGTCTTTATATTTTAAATTCCAAACCCTTACCTGACGCAGGAACATGTAGTCTGGCTGGTACTTCGCCGGCATAAACATGATCAGTATACGATCGAAGAACTGCAGACCCTTGAGCGAGGCCACTCCCATGTACAAGAATACACCGAACAGAACCGGCATAGGAATGTGGCCGAGCAGCGGGGTAAGGAGCACTGAGACACCGATAGTCAGGAAGATCAGGATGTGGGTAACCCGCTGCTCGCGCACGCCCAGGAATTGTGGTTTCTCGCCAGGGGCCGAGCACTCCGATTCCAGTTTCAATGAGTTTACATGATTGATGCTCAACACAGTGGCAGCCACGAACCTGGAAACAATATTAATTAGTAAGTAATTTGAAATAAAGACATGGCATTTATTTGCAGAACTCACCATGGAAGACCCATCACACTGCAGATGGCAATCAGAATGGAGAGGATAAACAGGTCCAGATGATAGCCGCAGCCCTTCTTCAACTTATTTTCCTTCCGGTTGACAATGACGGCCGTAATCTGTTGATCCATGAAGATCAGAATAGTGCCAAGCAGAGCGGGGAAGACGGCAATCATTGGTGACCACCAGGGGTTCTTCTCCGAGAAGGGAGGAATCAACCAGCCACGGGTGTCCAAAGTCGGTTTCAGCTCGTTGGGCACCTCCAGTTTCTGGGTGGGAACTCCCAGGAAATGGTCAAAGAAGCTCATGGCAAAAATGGCAATCAAAACGGAAAAGTCACTGATGTACTGGCGGACAATGGAGGGGAAGAAAAGGGCGTTCTTGAAGTCCTTCAATATGGTCGAGATGATGAAGGTGCCGGCGCACAGAACCACTGACATGAGGAAAACATTTTCGGTGGGTGGAGTGCCACAATCGCCGCCAACTAAAGTGCCATTGTACGACTGAAAATAAGAAGCTATAGTGTATGATTTTTAGTTTTAAAATATTATTCTTACCGCACAAGAATCCCAGTTGTATTTGGCGTAGTCCACGACACTGGCATTACTTCCTAGTGGCGGCGTGCAGACACAATCGTATATTCCCTGGTTCACTGGGAAGTTCTTTCCAATAACAACCACATTTTCGATGGCTTTGTATATAAAGATGAATGCAATCAGAGTGGCAAAGTTTTCTTCGGTAAATCGAGTGATGTAGCACACCAGGGCACTGGCATCAATCGCGGTCAGGACGATACAAATGCCGGCAACCCACATGCCGATCCAGAACCGGAATGTCATATAGTCCCATCCCATTTTGAAACAGAACTCGTATATGATGGATTCGAAGACCAGAACTGGACCGGTGGAGCCGAGAATTGTCAACGGCTGACCCGAAAAGAAGCCATAGCCCATGCCACAAACGAATCCGGAGACCAAGGACTCCATAGCAGCCATGTGCTTGCCGGTAGCCTCCGCCAGTAATCCGCCAAAGGTAATAATTGGTGAGAGGCAGGCGAAGTAGAGGAAAATCCAGGAGGCCACGCACTGCATGGATAAAGCATCCTTATAGTCGCTCAGATACCAGGGTGCCTTGCGTTTCACATCGTTGATGAGGCCACCAAACAGACGACCTGTCCTGGAGAGCCCTGACTCCTCGCGCAGTCGCTGTTCCTCCTCCTCCTCGTCCACCTCCTCCTTGGGCAGCTCTGGTGGTCGTTTTCGCACCTCCTGCGATGGAATGGCCGCTGGCGGTTCAATGCGAATGGTGGGGTCCCATTCTCCAGGTGGCAGCACGGTCACCGCATCCAGGAACTCATCCACACCAGACAGCAGGTGGTCGCGTTTTCGGGCCCTGTAAGCCACTTCGTGGAAAATCTCGTCCGACATCAGGGTGGCCATTGCACGGCCAATCTCATGGAAGTTGCTCTGGCTGCCAGGTGGTCCAAGCAGGATGAAAATGAATCTGAGGAGATACGAATTGGCATGCTCTTTAGAAACAATAATCTTGAAATGTTTATAGCTCATGGCTCATGATTAATCGTCATTCTTAAAAATTCTCATTAATAAATATTTTTCGCAATGAGTAATAAAGATATATAGTATTGCAGAGTCATAAATTGATAAGGATATCATGACCCATTGTGGCATATAACTCTTCATTGCAAATTTTATTATCAATTCAATGTTTTTGTTTATTAAAGGCAAACGAAAAGAACAATAAAGTGCTTTCATTGATATAGCGTAGCATTTATTCTTAGGATTTTATTTATTTTTAAATAAACCATTTTTATTATAAAATATAAATATATACCTGGTTGGCACTGGCACCTCTGTGAGATCGCCCATCACCGCCGCCTGGCTGAGACGAATGAAGCAGGATAGGGTCCTTTCGAGGAAGTCCACCTCGCCGACGAGGATGTTGCTGGCCTCTGCGCCGGGGGGGATCTTGCGCATGAAGTGAGTGTTGCCCTTGTGTCCTTGCTGTTCGCTCAGCTCCGTGCCGCTGCTGGGCCTGGCCATCGACTGGCTGCTGGGGCTCTTCACCATGTCCTCTGTGATCACGGGCAGGTTTTGTGCGGGCCGCAGGTTTTTGGAGGATTTAGATTTTTTCTCTGCATTAGTCGGTGTTTTGGTTTTGGGTGTATTTTTTCGGCAGGGTGCAGGTTTTGGGTATCGTGTGTGGTTGTATTTTATTCATATTTTTTTTTCGATTACGTGCGTTGATAAATATTACAATAATAATAAACACAACAACAGGTAGTTCCAAACATTACAACGATACAACATAAAAAAACATACGAAAAAAGAAGTGCAAAAGAAGAGTTTTCGGATTAAATTCAGATTCGTCTAAAGGTGCTGGAAGAGATTTCAAATTTAATTTAAATATATAGACAATGAGGCATGCGGGGAGTAGATAGATTTCAGATGGAAAAGGATCTGAAAACGTGTTAGTGGTGATTTCAGCGTGCAGATGTGTTTGTGTTAGGTGTTCTCTTCGATACTACAGAACCATTTTCCTGAAAATCCAATTTTGAGTGGATTTTAACCTTCATGCAAATTTTGCCAGCTTGGGGTTTACAAATTTCTCCAACCAATTCGATTCTTATATTTACAAAACTTCGATCTACGAAACAAATCAAATTTTTATTTTTCAGGATCATTGAAACAATTAACAGACACGCAAAAAAACAAAGACAAGGTAAAACTATAACGAAAACTGACATTGGTTGAGTTTTTTCTTGATTTTTGTTTGAGTTGGTTTCTTTACCGAGCGTTCTGTTGCTGGGCTTTCCACTGGGCACCGTTAGAAAACGCCCCATGCCGCCACCACCACCAGTGGTGCTCAAGTTTGAATTTCCATTGGATCCGGGTGGTCCCGGTTCGCTGGCCGTTTGGGAAATGGGCGTTGTGGCCCCCAAGGTGTGGCCGGAGGACTGCTCTTCAACTGGAAAATGTTTCGGGTTTTTTTGGTTGGTTTTCAATCGAAAAAAATCTGTAGGGTAACTAAACATCTGGCTCATCTCTTAAACTCTCAAAAAACCTAATTTACCTCATGTTCTATTTGATTGGTAAGGGGTTTATAAGAAAAGGACTCTAAGGTGTAAGGTTGAAGTTCGGGGTACATATTATAAAGATTATATAGATTAAAGAGAGTAGTAACGTTCAAAGATACAGAATAGAACACAGGTACTTAATATTCAGGTAATATTTTTCATCTGATTAAAGTTGTATAAATTAGACAACACAATTAGTGATCGACATATCGGTATAGAATTTCTTGGGGCTAACGAGCTTTTGAAGGATTAATTTAGAATAGATTCGGTAAAGAGATTAAATAGTAGTTCAAAGATTAAAAGAGTAAAGAGTTAGAGATAAACACAGCGTGCTCTTGATAAAAGGTACAGTAGAAAGAACAGTAAAAACCATTAATGGGCTATTACTTGTCGTTGATTGTGACTGCGGACGTCCTTGGCTGTGGGTTTGATGCTGAGGCGAGGCCCCGGCATGAAACCAGGTGGTGACCCCTATGGCCCCCAGATGCGATGAGGTGTCAGCTTTTATATATATTTTATATTTTTAAATAATTGAGAACGAAGAGCGCAAGAGGGGGTATTTTATTTGATGGTTCTCTTTATAATATCCTACAGTTTACTGGCTTTATGGATATGAGTGATTTATGAATGATTGTGGTTTCTAATTTAAAATGGGCTGTCTACCTAAAGGGGCTGTCGGCTATTTTTTATTTTAGGAGGGTATTGTATTCTAGAAATTAATTTTATTTAAGAATTGGGTTTGGCTTGAAGAAGGTAATAGCCAAGAAACTGGACCAATTAAAAGGGGATTTGATTTCATTTATGGGACTTTCTATTGGCTTGGTTCAGTGTGAATTTTGTTAAGTGCAAGGCAACTGAAAATTTTTGACAAGGCTTATTATTTTCAGCTTTACAAATTTACAGTGAATTATTTTGTTGTTTTGGGACTACTCTCTAGTTACTAGGCTATACCTGTGGGAACAGCGAGATAACAACCACGCTGATCCTTACTGGACACATAGAGGGGTGTCTGGTATTCTCCAGTGAAATCCATTCCGACCGACGAGCCATGCATAGAGTGCAGAGGATTGCTCTTGCCCAGGTCTGAGTTATTGGTATTAGTTTTGGATCGGATTGGATGAGAGTTTTTAGACACTGTGACAGAGACTGTTTTTGATGATCCTAATGAACTGAGGCTGAGAGTGATGACGGTTCTCGCAGATGATTCACAGTTTGACACCAAACGGAACGAGATGAGCTTAGAGTACGCTTAGAGAACTGCCCCCCATACTCACTTTTCGATGACGACTGGTTGCGCATATCGGCCAAGGACCGAATGATCGGCAGTCGTGTCTTCTTGGCATACTCGTGCTGGTGGCGATGTCGTCGCAGGAGTGCATCCTTGACCTTGTCCTTGACCCCAGGGGGTAGAGTGCCGGCACTGACCATTTGGTCGCATACCAGATCGGCCATCACCTCCAGATTATGGGCCTCCATGTCCAGCATAACACTTCCGTTGACCAGCAGGCGGCGGAGCTCGAAGAGAGAGTGCAGCGACAAGGTCGCCACATGAGGCTTCGACCACCTGTTTCCACCCTCCTCTACATCCTCCTCGAATTTGATCCAGCGCGCCGTCTCCTTCCACTCGATCTCATCGCCCTCCTTCACCAGCATTCCCATTTCCGAGAAGAGGGGGTGTGATACGTGGGTGCCGTCGTCGCCCACATCTTCGCCAAGTATGAACTGGACCCGTTGGGCGGGAGGAGTCGCTGTGGGTTGAATGGTAAGGATTAAACAATGTATTTTAGAAAGCGGATACAAATTTATTTTAAACATCTAAATGCCTGTTTCTCGAATTCCCAAAGTGATCGGACCACTATCTATGTCCTAGCTAAAGGCTCTTATGCTCTAACTTGCCCAAAAATCATCCGATTCTTAAGCGGAGTGTTTTAAATGATTTGTGAATCTATTCTCTATGAATCTGCATCAAAACCTAGAAACAAATTATTTTTTAGATTTTTTGTCTAATTTTCCAGGGGGTCCCCTTCAAAAATCACGAAAATGCCATGTGGGGACAAAATTGACCCTCCGAAGGCTCTAACTTGGCCAATAATCATCCGATTCTTAAGCGGAGTGTTTTAAATGATTTGTGAATCTATTCTCTATGAATCTGCATCAAAACCTAGAAACACATTATTTTTTAGATTTTTTGTCTAATTTTCCAGGGGGTCCCCTTCAAAAATCATGAAAATGCCATGTGGGGACAAAATTGACCCTCCGAAGGCTCTAACTTGCCCAATAATCATCCGATTCTTAAGCGGAGTGTTTTAAATGATTTGTGAATCGATTCTCTATGAATCTGCATCAAAACCTAGAAACAAATTATTTTTTAGGTTTTTTGTCTAATTTTCCAGGGGGTCCCCTTCCAAAATCACGAAAATGCCATGTGGGGACAAAATTGACCCTCCGAAGGCTCTAACTTGGCCAATAATCATCCGATTCTTAAGCGGAGTGTTTTAAATGATTTGTGAATCTATTCTCTATGAATCTGCATCAAAACCTAGAAACACACATTATTTTTAGATTTTTTGTCTAATTTTCCAGGGGGTCCCCTTCAAAAATCATGAAAATGCCATGTGGGGACAAAATTGACCCTCCGAAGGCTCTAACTTGCCCAATAATCATCTGATTCTTAAGCGGAGTGTTTTAAATGATTTGTGAATCGATTCTCTATAAATCTGCATCAAAACCTAGAAACAAATTATTTTTTATATTTTTTGTCAAATTTTCCAGGGGGTCCCCTTCAAAAATCACGAAAATGCCATGTGGGGACAAAATTGCCCCTCCGAAAGCTCTAACTTGGCCAAAAATCATCCGATTCTTAAGCGGAGTGTTTTAAATGATTTGTGAATCGATTCTCTATGAATCTGCATCAAACCCTAGAAACAAATACATTTTTAGATTTTTTGTCAATTTTCCAAGCTGGTCCCTTTAAAATATCATACAAAATTATTTGGTAGGACAATATGGGCCTTGTAAAGATTTTCAGCTTCGCCAATTATTACACGATTCGTAAGATATTCTTTAAATTTTTTTGTTGTTTGTGAACAACTCAAATACTACCCTTTATCCTTATACATTTTTTCCTAATCGTAGTGTTTTTTCCTCCTGACAGACCTTCATTAGCTTAATAAACATTTATGACTGGGTCACAACAGCTTCATGTGTTTGCCAGAGGCTACCTCCCCTTCGTCCTTCATAACCATCATCCGTGTCCTTGGACCCTGCTCAGTGCGTGCTAAAGTTAATTGGCGTAATAATTTGGCCCTGATCTGTGCTGGGAATTCGCCACTGGCCATCGACCATATGTCCTCTATAGTCTTGTTTGAGTTTGTACTGCGGTTTATGTATGTCGCAATTGCGTGACATATCCTTACTACTCGAGATGCTTTGCGGATGTGTATTTATGAGGTTGGAGCGCATTAAAATTATCTAAATAATTTATTTAGGAAATGTAATTCGAGGCAATAAAGTGAGACCCATAACCTTTTCTTTGAGTAAAATACGAGTTGTGGACTTTTTCTGTATGTATCATGGTTATGAAAATTCTAATTAATTTGAGAATGCTTGCCCTTCCAAGGTAAAACGTGGGTGCAAGAGTTATTGTTTACGGATGAAATTAAAAGTGTGACAAGGGTTAGGCATGTACCTGTTTGCTGTTAGATTAGAAATGAAAGTAAGCTCCATAAAATATTTACAAGTGGTTAGTTAATATTAAAGCTAGTAGTATGAAGTTTGCAAATGGGGTTAAGAGCAATATATTAGTTGGTTTCCCTTCCTTAAAAATAATTTAAGTAATTAGGCTTAATGCTGACCCTCATTACAATCAATGTCCTTGTCGTCAACTTCTAGGACAGACTAAGCCAATCATCTATCATTTCCATTATCCTTCTGCCTACAATGGCTATGTCTGAGCTATGAGGCTATAATTTGTGAAATTTACCCGCACCCTACTGTTTCCTGTAATTTGTAACAATTCTCGGCCTGGCCGAAACTGATTGGCCACATTTGTTGGCTGGCTTTTCATTTTCTCGTGGCATTCATCACTCTTCAGCATCCATATCGTAATTATATTTGCTAGGAGCACACACACACACAAGGGAGAACACCTGGACCCACCTGGTCGCTCCGCTTCCTGTTGCTTGTCGCTCATGTTGTCCTTGCCAGCACCGCCGCCCACACTTCCGGATCCGCCGATGGAACCGTTTCCGCCAGCCCCTGCACCCCCATGATGGTGCTTGCGCCGGCGCTGCGAATGGCGTCGTCCTCCTGGCACATGGACACCCACATAGACGGTGTGTGCACGATGTCCTGCCGGAGAGAATGCGAATGCGGGAATAAACGTCAGAAGGACATACGACGACGGGTAGGTTGGGGAAATCCAAATTGAGTGCGACGTTGTTTATTAATTGCAATTGAGTTACATAATTCGGTTACTCCAAAGTGTTTTTATAGCTTTTTTATGGGTTTTGTTTAGGATCAAATAAATAGTTACTTAAATACTTAAAAAGTTCAATAAACTAATAATTCCTTAAATCCTAAACTGGCCCTTGATGTTATTATCATACAAAATTGTGCAAGCCCACTCGTTTTATTAAATTCGAAACGTGTTCTCTATTGTCAACACTTTCATTTGCAATCACGGCTTAAAGTTCAAATTGAAATATATGTATTTATTTTTCTTTTATTTTTGGTGATAAGCCCTATGTATTTTTTTGCTAAATCTTGCCCAGCCATCAGTTCATTTTTTATTTTCCACCCAAGGCCAGAATAAATTACGTATACGCAGCGTTGAATCATCTACGAATCTGTGGCAAACTCAAGCTTTTATTCCTGCTGTTCTGGTTTTTTTTTTCTTCTTCGGCTATGACGACAAATAAATTTATGTTAATTACTTATTTCCCTGAGTTTTATGCTCGCCTTTGAGCAATTCTCCAGCTTAGATTCTCCGTCTTTGTTCGGCTTGCACTAATTGTGATATCATCAGCAGTTTTTCATAAATTTAAATTAATTATACGAAGCAGATCTTATGGATAAATTCTTGCTACTTTCTGCCAAGTCACGCGATAAGCGGCGCCACGAAAAGTTGCACTTTGTTTATGCAATTTGTCGCCAGGTACAGTAAAGACTACTTCAAAGGTTACGGTTAATTAATCAAAGCGATGAGTATGTTATCATTTTGTACAATTTGGTAAGTAAAAGCCAATGAGAGACCAAAACCGGAAGCATATAGTTATGTTGAATGTAATTAAGATGTAAAAAGTCATCTAGTTTTTATATCCAGTTGGATCTAGATTTTCAACCCCAAAAACTGACAATATCCGAAGAACTTTTAGTTGGTTTCGACTTTAGTTTTGGTAGCGTGTCAAAAGTTGTCAGGTTGCAATTAACACGACGCAAATTTCTTGTTTTTCTCTCATCTTGTCACTTGGCTGGTTTTACAAGCCAGCTCTAAAAATTGGTATTTGCGTTTGGACCCAATTTTTCGAGGGGTCGCCCATTCGATTCAGGTTTTCTTCGTTTTTATCAATATTCAGCGAGCAATTAAGAAAAACTGTTTCAAAAGAAAAATTTCCATTTGAGCCAGCCAGACTCACCTTCGAAATCGTTTTCTGTAAATTGTTGGGTAAAATCCTCGCCGCCAGTGCGCGGGTCCTTGGGCGCCTCATCGTCACCACTCGAGGAGTTCATGGTCCAGGGTCTGTCGAGAAAAAACAAAAAGGAAATTTAATATTTACCCAAAGGATAATTAAACAATAAAGAAAAGGGTAGGCTCTAGAGATAACCACCTTACATTTTAATTAAATAATTCCCCATCACAGCTAGCCTATTTTTTTGTTATCAGGGGAAAGTGTTTGGTAATTGGTGCAACTGTTACGGTTGCCTCAGCAACCTAGAAAAGTCTCAGCCCTATTGACAAACCTAGAAAATTATACCTCGGGTGCTGAGCTGAATATGCAAATAGATTGTCAATCGCCTAATTGAAATGCGCTTTTGCTATAAACGCAAAGTGAGCAGACGACTCACATAACTGATCACAGCGTATAAAAATCGACATAAATTAAAACAAATTGTGGGTGTTATGCATGGTGAAAAGCAGATACTCTTTATTAAAAAATATAAAAGACCATAAATCATAAACTAAGTGTGAATATTTATACAAATATTTAAGATATGGAATTTGATTATTGGATAATATTTCAAAACCTTATATTCTTTAAGAAAGGTGCACTTCCTTTAGTGCTCTAACTTGTTACATTTTATACTTTTTCAAGACCTCCCTCGAAAAGTATAAAGTAAACAAAACGCCTACAAAACTGACAATGATTTCACAGTCAGTGTCATTGTTATACTCATTGTCACGGGTTTTAAGTCACTGTTTCATTGAGGCTCTCACATCATTCAAACACTTTTCATAATCCAGAGAAATAATGTCACCCACAACTCAGAACCCAGAACCGGAATATTTAAGAGCCTCACTTCGCCAGTACCCCATAAATTATTTGGCTCTGGTTGCATTTCAATTTTAGTTCCCATTTCCATGCAAATTATTAATTTTTTATGGTCTTTTAACAGTGAGTTGATTTCGCTTTTAATATACAACGTTTGGCTTCACATTCAATGGAAAATCGTTTGCGTTTTGCTAAATTGCGTAATTTTGATCCATACACGTGCTTCAGTTTATTAATTGGGATATGAATATGGCGATATTTACGAGTATTTGGCCAACCTTTATTGCCAATGAATTCATTAGTATTTATTGTTATTTTTTATTTGCACTGAGATTTAGGTTTTCCATGCCGCTTTATAATCGAAACTGTTGTTTAATTTGTGCGACGTGTCCGATAAGAAGATAATATCTTTATTGTGATCTAATCTTGGGCGTGGTTATAGTGTAATTACTAATAATTAAATTTCTATTAACAACAAAGTGTTCTATATGTGTAGTGTGGGTGGGTTACCAGGTTAGTCAACCATACAGGAATATATATAAAAGTAAACATTTTGACAATATCAAGAATAAACCTTCATAAATCACAGATAACACTCTGAAGTGTCCAAAGTAGAGATTTATTAACAAAGTTAGATTGGTAATGTTAAGGAAATACTTTGTAAAATCTAAAGTATCCCATTTCTTGCTAAATAATGTGTGTTTACACAAACCGGCTAATTTTAGTAATTTCCAGGTTTAATTATGATGGAAAAATTTGCATTGCATAAAGGTTTATTTCTATATAGCCCATCATCTTGCTGTCATTGTGCCTTGCCTTATCAGCCACGCAAATTTTTAATCTATATGGTACTCGAGTATATGGACTAGACAGCGGCCAGAGGGACGGACACCTCCAGTCTGTCTGCCAATTGCCGGTCTAAACTGGGTCTACCCAGGGTTTACCTCAGATCGCACCTTATGTGCATTTTGATGACTTTATAATCGCAGCCCCTGAGTCACAACAACAAATATTAAATTTGGGCAACGACATTAACTTAATGTCTGATGCTGTATAATGTGTCAACAAAGCCGTAGACTATTTGCACTAGACTTTGTTTAATTAAACGCTTGGTGCTAGTGTAAAGAAATACTTAAGATGGGTTGGGCCAAAAAATTTTAATATATTCTTATAGGTTTATGACTGTCTGTTCTTCTAGAGAATAGTTGGAAATAATGTACTAAAATTTCTTATTTTTCGTAGCGATAAACTAATTGAGGGGTTGTTTTTAGAAAAATAAAAGATTAAAAGTAATAGGTTTGTAGAACTCTTAAATTGCAAGATTAAGAAACACTTACGTAGTAAGATTTCTTATAAAAATGTGCAATGAATTAATATAATATTAAGAACCCATTCTGGCTTTTCTAGTTTCAAATCCTTATCAAGCATTTTTGAAAGGTTTTATTGCGTTCTAAAATTTTTTATATTTTTTGTTGGTTTATGTTTTCTTATCATATTCTTTATGATGAATAAAGTTGTAATTATATTCATCTAATTTCTTGTATTTTAAATTCTCCCTTGGGATAAACTTGCACTGAAAAGAATTTCGCAAGCCTGAGCCTGATAAGCCTGCCTGCGAAAGTGAAAAATCAACTTTTGAACCTTGATATCTTTTCAGTGGCTTGTTGTTTTTCCTTGATGATGATGAATCACTGCTGGTACTTACAATTCTATGTACTCATTATTTTTGGCCATCACCTTATCGCTCAGAACAGCGATCGAAAATTACGGCAAATGTGTACGGGAGCTGTGTTTTGCTTGTTCTTGGCTTTTGGGGTACGAGTGTTTTTATAGTTTGTGGAAGAGTTTTTATACACAGACCCCACGATTATCAACCGAAAAACGAAATTGTGCGATAGACGACAACGACGACGACGTGAATTGGGGAAACAATAAAAGGCGAATGTGGGGTTCCGTTTTATGATTTGATTTTAATCAGCTCGAATTCGGCAGAGTCTATATAAATTTTATTTAGATAGTGTATGTTTTAGACGCGACCCGCCGACTCGACGGGCGATTGCAGACTAACTAACTTTGCCGATCTTCGAATTGAAGCAGCTGGGCTCGCTTAACCCTCTGTCGCCGATTCTGCTGCTGGCGGCTTTAATCGCCGACGTCGGCATCGGCAGCACGATCCGAGCCGACACTCGGAGAAAAATTGCTGTAGGTCTCTCGTAGAATGGCCGAATCGCCACAGCTGGGGCAGGGGCGGTGCATTACAAAATGTGTTTTTAAATGCCAATTTCGCCTACTTAACTTTATCGATAGTTTAGCCTCCAAATGGGCTTCCTTATCGCCAAAGTTTCGAACCTTATCACCAAATCGTATTAAAAAAGGGCAAAAAACGAGAGCCTAGGTTTACCTAATCAAAAGTGCATTTTAATGGCCCGTTACAAGACTGGCTGGGCATTAGCCATTGTTGACAAATCCAGTTAGAACCGCTGGGCTTATAGAGAGGGAGCTACAGGTACTACAACTCAAAGCAACAAGTGTCTTTTTTGATTTCTTGAATTTTTCGGTTCAAGTGGTTGTTGACTAATGAATAGCCACAAACATTTTTTATCAAAATATATACGAGAGTGGGCTATAAGTATTTTTTTTATTTTTTGTATAGATATGTATGTTTATTTCCATCGTTTCTGTTGTGGCTGGGATTTTCTCGATGACGAAAATAAACAACAAAAGATATCCAAGTGGTCAGGGCCCTTGAAAAACTTTTATGTAGGGCAGTGGGTGTCAAACCAAAGTGAACAAATTTATTGTAAATCAGTGAATTGATTTAAATTTTAAATCACAATTATGCTATGCCCTTTTAAAGCTAAATTATCAGCCAACACGTTTGTATAAGATTGGCTGCGGCTATTTTTAAGCATTTATAGCACGTTGTTGTGTATTTTTTCTCTTATAACTGATATTCAAATTGGTAACTAATTAGCATAATTTTGACCAATCTTAGTTTTATTTTATTTTATGGTGAAAACTGATCTAAATCTATTAAAGAATAAGTTTCAACATTATTGGCCCTCAAGCAGATTCATTTAAATGCAATTTTAAATGTTTTTTATTTTAAAATTTAGTGCTTATAAAACTAAAAATTATTTTAATTTAATTCGAAGAACTGTTTTGGATTGGGAGGTTGTTTTGTTCGGTGTTGTTGTCTTAGTTGTTTTTATATTTATTTGTCGTTGTTGGTAGTGTGTTTGGTAACTGCAAGGTGAAGTCTACCGGTTAGAACCGGTAGAAAGCAATCGGTTCGGGTTCAGGTTTCGCCGATAGACAGAGCCCCCCATGAGAGGGCTCTAGCGGGCGAGAGATGTTTGCGATAAAGGGGATTTTTAAATGATATTTGTTTTTTTCTTAAATTTTTTTTTATCAAAAAATTAAATTTTTTGGTGTCTGTCAAAATAAGTGACGCAAAAAACAAAAGCGAGGGTAATCGGAAATAATAACATTGTTTTTGTTTGTTCATTTGTTAAGATCGAGAAGTGAATTCTTGTGAATCGAGTTGAGTCGACTCGATTCGATTCGAATTTCATTGTTAATAAATCTATTTTCCTGGCGTGGTTGTAATTAACAGCCATTAGCACTTTGACAAACTGTGAATGAATTAAGAATGGAAGGTTAATCGAGTTTCTATTGCCTCCATTGACAAGGCCAAGAATCAAAGAAATCTGTCGAATTAATAACGATTTCTTTGACGTAAATTTGTGGAAACGATTTTCGTCTAATCTTATTTGTGGCTTCAAATTGAAAGGCGAATTAATCATAGTCAACGTCACACCCTCAGGATTTGGTCTTATTTTTCACGGCCTGTTGCTATCAAGGGGCCACTCGACACGAATCGCCCTGACAACTAAATTGTTTAATAAACGCAACTCTTGATTAACTTCGATTCTTATCACTGATGGCTGCCAGCCAACGCGTCACTTCACCCACTCGAGTGCCACTCGATAAGTTTTCGGTACCTTTTTAATTGCTAAAAAAAATAATACCTTATCGTCCCACACCAGGTCTAGATTGTCGTGTACAAAAATATACAGCCAGGTCCTATTTACTTGATGGGTTTATGGCGGAAAAAATTCTCTTTGACACCTTTCCGCCAAGATTTTTATGATCACTCAAATATGATTTTAAATATGTATTAATCAACGTTCTCTTTGGGAAACAATGCGGCTTATAGTGCCTCTCTTTAATGGCTATTTGCTTGTTTTATTTGTTAGCCAGGTTTATGATATCACTGGCTTAATTGCAGAAAAATATAAAAGTCAAAAGTCATCAAGATTTTGAGATTTCAAGCAATCAGTTTATTAAAGCTGAAAACAAAACTAAAGCAAAGCAAGGGAGACTCTATTGTGCCCTGAATATTTTATTTATTCCTTTCAGGAATGTTTCTGCTCATGGCTTCCTTTAATCCTAGTCCCAAAGGCTTTCCTTTTCTTATTTTTAGAATTTCTTAAATATCCCAAAGCTCTTTTATTTTCCGTTTCCATTATCACACCCCACACACCCACTGCCTCACCCTTGACCTTCGCCATGAGCTCATATCCTGGCCACTCTAGGAGCCCCGCAAACAAATCAAGGTCATCCGAGTTATAAATTCCTTGGGGCTGCAATATCTCACATCTAACTTTTGTATTATTCTTTATCTTGGCACTATGACACTATGGCTTTTAGTGTCGTATCTTGTTTTAGTGCCCTTCCAATTAGAGCCGAGAATAGGGTTTTTTTCAGATGGCCATGGGTCGTGTGAAAATGGTTCAGTTCGCTGCTGGTCTGATGTCATTCTAGCCATTTGATTCCGTTTTTATTGTCTTTCTGGTGCAAAATGGACAAAGAAGCTAACTGCCAAGTGAGAAATTGCTGTCATCTCTGGCAGCATATAGTTCAGTTTTTTTTTTTAACAGACAAATATGAGCGACGATATTTGCCAAAGAAATTTGCAATTAGTCGGGGAACACGATAAACTTGGCAAAAGTCACAAAAGGTGGGGCGAACTCAGGTGCGATTTGGGACCTCCGGCAAACGACATGGCGTGTGCCATTTTGAGATACATCCGTTGCATGCGGAAGTGACACACATAACAGGGCGGTGGGGATGGATGTTAGGGGATTGGAAATGGGAACTGTGACTTGGGGCTTGGGGAAAATGGGATCAATGTCCCCCAATGAAGCGAGAATCCGGCAAGCAAAACAGAGAATTTCGAATGCAGAGAGGCAGGGAGAGAGAAAGTACTTCGCGGTTTTAGAGAGCCCTGGAGAGTCACAACTTCTCTGTGGTTCTCTGAGGTATGTCCTCCTCTTTCCTCTAACCATCCACATTTTCCCCCTTTCTCTCGGGTCTTGCTCTCTTTGTTGTTTGTTGTATGTATATTGTTTGCTTATCGAACGCCTCCCTTATCACAACAGACAAAGAAAGCACCCAGGCCACAAGAAGCACAAAGACAGTGTCTTCTATATAAACATGTTCCAGCCCCCCCTTTGCACTTGACATGCTGTTGACCCAGTCTCTGTTAAAACCCACACGAGACATCCTCAACAAACCCAGGCCAAACAAAACACAAAGTATCTGTATCCCACAGATACACAAATGTATATTCAAATTTTGATAAAAGCGACTAAAAGTCTAAAACCCCAATGGATCTAACTCATTCTAATGATAGTCCGTAAACGTTTCTATCAAATTGGATACCAGATATTCAGATACGAGATACTGTATCTTTAGACGTGCGTGTCTTGAGGAATTGAATTGTCGGGCCAGTCGTTCGCCATTGTCACTTAATTGGACTCGGTAATAGTGTTTTTAGCTTCATTTTGCTTCCTAGATATTACAATCTTTACAAATCTTATTATAGCTTTTATTGTGACTTCGTTGCTGACATCTCTATAAGGGAGATATAGACGTCCATTGTGCGACGTCTAATAATATCACTAAAAATGGAAAATGGGTCTTTAAAAGGGGATTACAATTGAAAACTTTCAAGCTACCATTTAGTTACATGAATTTCAACTTTGAACTCCTTTCTCCTCATTAATTATTTACTTAATATCGACTATAGCCTAGCAACCACCAACAAAGGCCTTTGTTTCTTTGATCCTGCTCCTCAAAAACACTCAACACTCATACGCCCCGTTGTCCAGGAACCACCTAGTCTTGTTGTTGTACTGAAACAGGATGTATATCTTTTATATACCTGCTACTATCAGTGGCTATTACTCTGGGCAATCGGCCATGTCCATGGATGTGCTTCAGTTGCGCCTGCTGCGGCATCCTGCCTGTTTTTGGTAGTTTTTTGGCTCCTTCTGCTCCCTGGAAACACCCCGAATGTCCTTTCGAACTGTTTTTGTTTGTGTCCTGATTTTGTGATGTGGGGGCACGTTGGCAAAACAAAGAAAACTCAGCGGGCGAGCGGGGTTAATGACACCGAAAGTCAAATATTGACTGACACTAGCTAAGTGGATTTTCCTTAATCCTTTCACAACGAATTATTCAAAATTAACTTAGTCTAAGCACTTTTCAAAGGATATGTATATATTTTCAGGAAGGTATTTTTTTTTAGGGTTTTTGGAGATTCTTTCGGTGATATCCGCTATCGTTTAAGTCGCGCGGCAGACTAATCCGGCCGGCTGGCTGTCGAGAAGTTCAGAGCCCAGAACTCGATGTTTTCCGATGCATCTCCGGCATTTTCTCGCTCTCCAGCTGAGTTTTCCTCTCTTTTCGCTGCAGTTTTCCGAGCAAAGAGTATGGAGATTCTCTTCGGGATGGATTTTCTCTGACTCTCTGCCGGCTGTGCTTAACACATTTGCATTTGCGGCTTTTCATGTTATTATACCATTATGAGCACGCTGCATGTTTGATGATTGGGGGGCTGTGAGGCGGACTTAAAGGCTGAAGCTGTGGTGGGCGGAAAATCTGAGGTTGGAAGCAGGGGGTGGAAGCCTGGTCATGTCAATTTAATTTTGTGGAAATTCGCTTTCGACGCACTGAATCAAGTTAGTGTGTGAAGGTTTTCCCACTAACGGTAGCAATAGGATCCTTT